ATATATATATATATATATATATATAGTATTATATATATATATATATATGTATATATATATATATATGTATGTATATATATATGTATATATATATATATGTATATATATATGTATATATATATGTATTGTATATATATATGTATGTATATATATATGTATGTATGTATGTGTATATATATGTATGTATGTGTATATATATGTATATGTGTATATATATACATTATATATATATATATATATATATGTATATATATATATATTATATATATATGTATATATATATATATTATATATATATATAGATATATATATATATATATATATATATAGATAGATAGATATATATATATATATATATATTATATATATATATATAATATATTATATATAGATATATATAATATATATAGATATATATAATATATAAAGATATATAATATATATATATATATATATATATATATATATATATATATATATATATATATATATATATTGCGAGGGCGGGGCGGGGGTGTGGGCCGCACCGGGTGACACCATTTAGGGGGGTGACACCAAGGCAAAATATACAGATGAAAATTTTTATTTTGCCTGTTCAATTAATAATTAATTAAAGTTAAATAGTCTTCTAAGTACAAATCAACAATTATAACAAGGGGGTGAGATGACACTATGAAAACTATGCTACATCCAACTATATTATTAACAAAGTATAGATAACGTTTTTATTCGATGCTTGGTCATGATTGCTAAATCCTCATCAAGCATCTATGTGTATTTGTAGTGGGGTGGGGGAGAAGCGGAAACGGGGAGGGGGTGCTGCACATTAAAAATTGTACATTTGGCTGCAAGTTGACTTACTAATTTCACGATATGGCGATGCTCTTACATGAAATTTTGTTTTGATTTGCTATGCATGACTTGTAATATGATTTATTGGCTATTTGTTTTCATATGTATAGTTATAATCTGATAATAATATACTGGGCGTTATGTTTACTGTTTTACATTATATTAATAGCAAAATATAAATATTAGAATCCGCTCTAATCCTCGCTCAAAGTAATTAATTAGACAAAATTATTTTCTCTGCTGTTTTTTTTTTGTTTTTTTTTTTGAAAGCGTATTTCTGAAATGTATCTTTTTTACGATTCTTTGTTTGTTAAAAGGAATATGAGATCACAACTACTGTAAGGAGAAATTGTGAGGTCGCTGGATGTCAAACTGGATGTAATAGACTTCAAGATAGGTGTCATTGCCCCCTCTCTCCTTTCGTGTGTAGGTCATAAATGATGGACGAAATAGGACGCCACAGAGCCAACATAACACAATGTAGGCCTGAAGCACAAAGATACACAACTCAATAGTTTCATAATCCTTGTAAAAACTATTTGACATAGATTGTTAAGAAGTTTATATCATTAGGTTAACATGTGACACCTCTTTGAACTATGGTCTACATTTTTTTTTATGTTAATGTTTATAAAATTTGCGGTAACAGTTAGTCAAGTGTCAATGTTAATAAAATTTAATGCATGAGTAAAAAATTAAACCATTAAACTATATAAACAGAACAAAGAATGAGAGGAGTGAACAGTTGATGAGAAAGTTTATTTTATAACTCATTACTATCATTTTAATATCACTGACAAAGTAAGATGTACAAGTGCATAACAATAGAGAAATACGTCTACAAAGTTTAACAAAAGTAAACCTGATAACTTTATATACAACTGTAGTACAACAAAGAAATGAAATACTCCGAAAAATTAATATGTACTGCATGTTCTGGTGAGTTATAACATTCATACAACTGGTTATACTAAACTATATAATTGTGTGAGAAAAAAAATGATATTTTATATCAAAATACCCATCAACAATAATATTTAAATTAAGATTTTTATTCATTTGTAAATTAATGTATGATAAACTATATCAGGGTGAAATTGAAAGCTGATGAATGCTCAACTTAGGGAGGGAGATGCTATATTTGAAAGACTTGATCAATGGTGTGTATAGGTTCATTGTAATCAATAATATAATCATAAGAGTACACAAAAATATTTATTCAATTTATTTTTTCATTTTTTTTTTTACATTTCTTTAAGATAATAAGCAACCCTATAGCGACCCATAAATTGAAGCAGTGATATTTTCCTGTATAGTCCATTAATGTAAGAAACAACACATGTTAGTCCAAGTGTACCTACAATTATCTTTTTCTGGTAAACAAATAAAAGATTCAATATATTCGGTAGCCATGCAATCCAGTAACTAAATTAAGTATCACAGGAAAAAAACTTGGGTAGACATGTTTCATGGCTAACAAATCTGTAACAAATTTGCAGCAAAGATAACTCAATAAGAGTTATGATATTTGATAAGAGTGAATAAATCAAAATATAATTTCCAGCTTGCTTTTAAGTTGTAAAGCCATTTGTTGTTAAGTCTGGTTATATCAGTTTTTAAGTATTAAAGTAAGGAAAGAAATAAAACACTAAACTATTAGAAGTATATTTTTGTATATCAGGTTTGAACTTAGTTTTTAAATAATAAATTTATATAAAGAAATGTGTTAATTTACACATGTTCATTCAGAATTAATAACATTTTTAAATTTACACATTAAAAAAAAACTAAAAATAATGTTGAGAAATCATTTACTTCCCTTTGCTAAATACAGCCAGTTAAAGATATTATGATTATGTTGAGAAAAGCTAAAATAGAAATAAAAACCTTTATAATAAAAAGCTTTCAAATGTGCTTAAGAAAATTTAACTTATTCTTTAGTAGAAGAGTTGTTTGTTCATGAAATCTCACACTGGTATTAGTAACCAAAGCTTGTACTAAGGAAAGGAGTGTTATTATTGGCTCATTTAAAATAAGTTATAAAAGTTTTTAAATTTATTTTATTTTTTTATCTTTTTTAGCTATTAGAAAATTATAAGTTAAAATAGTATGTAGATAATTAAGCTATTAAACATTAATAGTAATATATTCATTCTTTTCATCTTTTTCATTCAAAATTATGTCAACATCCTACATGACTAAAAATCTTTGCATCAAAACCTATAGTCTTAAATCTAAAGACGATTATCAGCCTTTATTAACATTCGTAGTGGTTTCCTAGGTGTAAAACACCAGTCGACACAATTCACTTCAGTCTCTTAACTGTTACAGCTATTGCTAGTGATCTTTTTATTTCCCCTTTTGTCAGTAATATAGTGTTGCTGAAATTAACTTATTATGACTGTTATAATTTCTTATTAGTCTAAAAATTAGATATCCATGCGAAGGAGAAGGCATACCTGAATAAGATGAGAATGACAAAATTTAAAAAGATAAATTTAACAAATGTGATACCTGCCCATAGTGGTTACTAATCTATAAAATCTAGCTAGTTTAGTTAAAAAATATATTTGTATATTTTTTATTACTATTTTGTTTTTTAAATATACAGAGTAAAAGAAGTAACAATTCCTCAACATGAAGTTGGAATTACATGCACAGGAAATAATTATAAAACTTAAATAAACCGGGAGTGATCTCCTCTAAACTTTCTCGAATATTCTTATATAACTTGAAATATAGACATGATTTTTAATTACTTAAACTTTTAAAAATAGAATAGAATCTCATAGAAAAAAATGATTGCGCACCAAGCGTGCGCCAAAACAAAATGTGCATAATAGTGCGCAATATTATTAGTACTTTATAAATTTACATGCGTTTTTTTTTTGAGAAATCGAAAATAGCGTAAATTAGTACTTCCGGACCACGGAAATTACTCAAAATTTGACAGAAGGTAGAGAATTAGATCTTTTACTTACATGTGAAATTTCATTTATCTATCTGAAATAGTACTCAAGTTATAGGCTTTTGAAAAATTCAAAGTAGAAAAAGTACCACTTGTGGTTATCGGAAATCGCTCAAAAGTTGATCAGGATCTACGATTTTGATAAAATACTTATATATGAAATTTCATCAACCTAGCTGTAACGGTACTCAAGTTATCGTGTTTACACACAGACAGACACACAGACATACGGACAAGATTGCAAAATTATGTTTTTCCGTATCAGTGAGGTGTAAAACGTCGAAATTTGTAAAAATCTCGATTTTGTTTTTTGCACCATTATAATACTTTCTCTATACGAGAAAGTAAAAACTGCATAATCAAGTTTGAAGAAAATAACATTTGTGTTAAAAAACTATAGTTATATAAAGACATTATATGAGACAGTAAAGCTTTGTGTAACAAACCTCAGGTTAGATGAAGTGGGACGCCACAGTACCATGATGACAATTAGAATCAAAGACAATAACAGATGCTCGAAGGCATCATCCATCCACAGTGTTTTCCAATCCTGAAAAAAAATAGATTTAATGAAAGAACATAATGCTATTTTTAAAAATCCTGTGAGGTGTTCACTGTAAAAAAAACAAAAAACTAACAAAATACAATTACTAGCTTGTAGACCCATTTTTCGCCCATGTTTTTTTTTTTAATTTGAATTTATAATTCAAAATAGGCCTTATAATAAATTACTTGATAAATTACTAGGTAAATGATAGCAAATATAATAAGTTAAAAATAATAAATTAATACTGTTTCCAATTATGGCAATTATTTATTCTGAAAACATATTTTTACAGCTACATCATATAGTAGCTGGGGGGGGGGGGTTGATTAATTGGTAAAACAGACTTCAAATTTGAGCTAAAGATCCTTAGTTAGTTTTCTTGACACTGCAGTTGAATTCCACATTGGTTTAGAAAGTTACATATTTTTATCATAGCCGATTCTAGCCTGGATGTCTTGGTCTGTATCACTATCGTTAGACTGATTTTTACTTTATATTAATTTTGGCTCTTCCCAGCTCAAGATTTTATATAAAATTATGATAAGACTTACAGAAAGGCACTCTTTAAATCTGTGCTTAACCAAAAACCAAATCATGTAAGCTAGAACAGCTGAAAAAAAATGTATTTGTATTATAAAAATTACATATAATATCAATGATAAAAATTTGAAATGTTGCAAAATTATTCTGTTTTATTTAAGATTTTAAGAAACTTTAAATATCTTAATTAAATGCTGTGAGGATAAAATACAAGCAAATGGTTTTATAAATTTGTATTAAATACTTGGATATCTTTACAACTGTTTGTATAGAGAAACTTTAATGTTTACCTATAATATAAAATATCAGACTATTCCTAAAATGTCTGTACGTCGAAAGTTTAACAATATCTTTTTCAAGTCGGAGAGTCCTTAGGGTTTGTCTCAGAGATTTAAAAATGTGAGAACTGTTAAGGGTAATGTTGAAAAAAGTAAAATAAAGTAACATTTCTATAGTTGCCTAATGATGATCAAGAATTGTATACTTTTATTTTAATTTTTAATGTAGCTGTTGCTTATGAAAAAGCAAATATGACTGCTTTTAAAAAAACAATTCAAAGCTTATTTTAAAATTTATTATAATAAACAGCATATATTAATGGAAGATATTGATAATTTTCTGATTATGATAAATATTGATGTCAGTGGTTAAAGAAGTAAGGCGGTTTGGCTGTACCCTGTTTAAAATATAATACCAACAAAGGCTGCAATTTAAAAGTAAAGGGTGCTATATTTAAAATAAATCTTAACTCACCTAAATAAGCCTATATACAAATGAATTTATATATGTTTGTCTGTCTGTCTTTTATGCATAATTACACCATTCAACAGTGGAGTCTAGGACCAACAGCCAAACCCTCTCAGATTAAAAGCAACAGCATTAAAACAAGTGAGAGAGTCTGTATATGGTGCCTCTGTGCTTAAACTGGTATATTGGATTCAGATCATGTCTTTACTTTAATTTGCCAGAACTTACAGAAGTGGGTCCAGATTATGAACAATTCAGTCACTTAAGATTGAGTTGGAATCTAATTCAATTCATGCTTTTTATAACCATTTTTTTTCTGAATGAAGCCGCAAACAATAAAAAAAAAATACTATTAAAAATCTAAGCTTTAATATTTACTTTCTCGTATATACGAAGTATAGAGAAAGTCTTGTAATCGTGAAAAAAAAAATCGAGATTTTTCCATTTTGCAATCTCGTCCGTATGTCTGTGTGTCTGTCTGTGTGTCTGTCTGTGTGTCTGTCTGTCTGTCCGTGTGTAAACACGATAACTTGAGTACCGTTAAAGCTAGGTTGATGAAATTTCATATATAAGTATTTTATCAAAATCGTAGATCCGAATCAACTTTTGAGCGATTTCCGATAACCGGAAGTGGTACTTTTCCTACTTTGAATTTTTCAAAAGCCTATAACTTGAGTACTATTTCAGATAGATAAATGAAATTTCACAAGTAAGTAAAAGATCTAATTCTCTACCTTCTGTTAAATTTTGGGTAATTTCCGTTGACTGGAAGTAGTACTTTACGCTACTTCCGATTTCTAAAAAAAACTAATGTAAATTTTAAAAGTACTAATAATATTGCGCACTATTATGCGCTTTTTTATTTGACGTTCACTTGGTGTGCAATTAATTTGTCTACGAGATTTTAGTCTATTTTTAAAACTTTAAGTATTTAAAATGGATTAAATATCATGTCTATAGCCTGAGTTCCCATCCCCTGTTGTTTTATATAAGAATATTCGAGAAAGTTTAGGGGAGATCACTCCCGGTTTATTTATCATTTTATGTCAGTTTTGCGTGCATGCGAATTTTTTATAGTAAAGATTTCTATTCACTTGTATATGTGCCGATATTTCAGTAACCAAATTTAGTTAACACTGGATATTAAACTAATAGAACAGCATACAATGTCATTAAAGGATAGCAAAGTTTGGAATAAACCTATATGTGACATTCAAATAACATTCAGCCATTACAAAAATAACCACATAAGTAGAATGGTTACATGACTATTTTTAATGAGGGGTAAACAGCTTTAAAATAACTCAAGGATATCCACCAACAAATGATGACAACAGTCACTGCTAATGGAACACATGCCAAAAGCTGCTGGGTAGTTTGGGCTGCTTTCTCCTAAGATGGAAAGAAAATAAAATTACCTAAATAGAAAAACTGGAGGATTCACATTACACATTCATAAATAATTAATTCTTTGTTCAGCTTAATTAAACATGATAAATATTATTACATAATAATGTTATAACTTAAACTAGTTCAGCTAGAAACTGTATAACAATAAAACTCTACCATCGGTAGTAAAATCTGGGTAAAGTTTGCCTTTCAAACCTGACGGTCTATGGGGCAAGTGAAGTAGAGTTCACTTGTTTCTGTGACCTCGGCATATGAAGAGATAGTTTGGTCAGCACTATGCCCAGCCGCCTTTACTTTCCCTAACGTGAGTTAGGTACCCATCAGAGTTGGGTGGACTCAAGGACGGATTACTGACTTGAACCCTGATTCGAATTCGAGACTTACGGGTTTGCAGTCCAGCTCTACCATAGGTAGTAAAATCTGGGTACTGATGTGTAATAATCATTTCTATTGTACTCAAAATACTCTTTGTTTTAGTGTTAATAAATAAATGACCAGCACAATACTTATATTTTTAAAATGTAAGGGTTAAATTTGGAAAATGAGAATTCTTACATTTAAAAAACATTTGAGGTACTTACATCACAATAATGTATTTTACCATTAAAAATAGAAGTCTTTCAATTAAAATAAAGTTATTTTTTTAATAATCAAGAGTAATTTCATATTTAAAAATAATCAAAACATCAATTTTAATATTTTTTGAAAAATAATATGATAATGAAATGCTAAATTCAAAACATCAGTTAACTTTGTTAAATTTTTGATGAATTAAATATTGTTTTCATTGCAGCTGATATAAATGTATATATACATAAAAAAAAACAATTGTAAGAGGTCATCCGTAAATGACGCTACACTTTTTTGACATTTATTACCCCCTCCTCCACCTCATCCCACACTGTCACAAAATGACGGACACCCCTCCCCCTACGAGTGTGATGTCACTTATGGACGACCCCTAAGTTGAACATACTGTGAGTGCCTTCATACATCCTACAATAGAAGCGAGGATGAAGAACACAACTCCTACAATCAAAACTTTATGAAAAGTCTGCCCAAGTCTTGGCCTTTAAAATATATACAAATATACTGTCCATTAGGCAATATATAATTATGTTTTGTACTTGTATTTCAGAAATATTTTATAGATTTTGTTAATCAATGATGAATGTACAAGTTATTTTCTTAATTTACTTAACGGATAAAGACATTTGTCTAAGTGTAATAGAGATATAGAATGGTAGTAATTTTTGCATGGATAAAATTCTCTACCTTATTAGAAGAAATGAAACATTGTTTTAACAAAACAACTTTTAAAATCCTACTTCTTCAACTTAATAATCCATAAAGGTATTTTTTTAAATTATGCTTTTTACATTGATACTGTTTGTAATTAGCAAGCTAGATAATAAGTCTAAGTGCATACAAAAATGTTATGTTTGTAATTTGTACAGCAAAAGTGTTATGTTATTCAGCAGTGAAAATCTTGAATGTGAACTCTTAAATGACAATCAAGTGTTAGACAAATAAAATAAAAAGGATTTTTAAAAAACAGCTCAGTTTTAAGAAAAGCAAAATGCATTTTTTTTTTAGAAAACCTACTTGACAATGCCATAGCCAAGACTGACAATTATGACCAGCATTCTGGCAAGTGACCGCTTTAAACAAGAAACCAACTCAGCAAAGATAATGGCTCCCCTCACAGACTGGCCTGTATTGTTGATGTTCTCATACTCACCAAAGAAAACAGCATATTCAATCATACCTACAGAAGATTTTTGTTTTAAAATTAGTTTTAAAATAATTTATTAACACAAAACCTACAAATTCATTTCTTTATAATTGAAAATAAATCTACCTATGAGAATAATTCCTCCGATCCAGAGGTGTATCCTATGCAAATCTGGCCAGTTACACGCTAGTAAAATAAGCCACACAATGCCAAAACCAAGGTACACAAGGGCCATAACACCATAGAACTAAGGATAAATAAAAATTTACATTAACCCATATTCTGCTAGCGTCCCACTTATGGGACGCTTGTAAAAAAAATTGCTAAAATTTATTAAAAACTAGTTAAAACACAAATTATGTTTCATTGTATTTGAAAATGGCTAGGCTATTAAATTTGTGTGTGTTTTGGGAAAAAAATTAATTTAGAAAAATGTTATAGTGCCGGATTTGCAGGACTTGTCAAAATGGCGAAAAAAAGAAAACATGCGCACAGGAAAATGCATATCTTCAAAAATATTAACATTTTAAGTGCAAAATACAATTGAAACTTGTAACAGTACCATATTTCTATCTGATAAAAATTTAAGAATAACAATTTTTTTTTACTACTTCGTTATATCAAGTGTACAACAAGCGTCCCATAAGTGGGACGCTAGCAACGAATGGCCCCATGTAGATTGTTACACAAACATCAAATTTATTGGACACTAGCGAGAAACACAGATGCAAATGTTTATGTTAAATGGTTATTTATGGTGAAACAATTGTTGACTTTGTTAACTGCTGACTTTGGGGTGTTAAGTAGTATTTATAGATATTTAATTATGACCTTGACCTATATTTATGCAGATTGTTACACAAACGTCACATTTATTGGACACTAGCGAGAAACACAGATGCAAATATTTATGTTAAATGGTTATTTATGGTGAAACAATTGTTGACTTTGTTAACTGTTCACTTTGGGGTATTAAGTAGTATTTATAGATATTTAATTATGACCTTGAGCTATATTTTCTTATATATTATTGTATTAAAAAATTGCAAATATTGAAAAACTTACATTTTATTTTTAAGTTTTTAGAATTACACTTACTGAAGTATTTAATACCATTGAATACAAACTAATTTAGTATTGCTGTAAATTTACTAGCGCGTGATATTAAAATTATAACAAACCAGAATAATAACAATGGCCACGATTTAGGTGAAATGATTCAGTCATGGGGGTTGGTTAACTCTCTTCACATCAGAGAGCTTAAGCTACATATAGCAGAAATGTGAATTAGCTGTGTACAGTTGTCATGCCCCAATAATATTCCCCTCCAAAGGTTCCCAATACCAGTTTTACTTTGTTAATTTTTTAAGGAGATCCCTGGTGTTAGATTGGGAGCCGTTCGCATAGTGAGGTGCATACATGGATGAGAGCCACGAACACTCAATACAAGCCTCCAGAGACGCATCCGTGCCCTCGAAATAAGATGTCTGATGTCCTAATGTACGCCTGTGAGGGGGGGGGGGGAATAGCGAGGGTAACAAAAGAGAAGATGGCTGGATGACATCTGGGACTGGACCGGATCATCTTTTGCAAATTCACTGAGGGCAGAGTTTCTTTCAGGCATCATTTCGGAGGAGGTTGGGGCTCTGCCACCAGAACAAAATGGAATTTATATACAAAACATACTTTTACCAATGTCCACCCTTCCCCTGAAATTTAAGTCCCCACCCCTGAAAATTTCAAGTACGCCCACCAAAAAATCAATTATGTATATTTAATTATATTACCGTTTTTGATGAATAATAACAATATTTGTGATCATGTGTGTCTAATTAGATGTACTAGTGACAGCTTTACTTATTTCCAAGTGTTATTCACTTTGATGGATGCTAGATTGAAAGAAAACTAGACTTTTGAACATAATTTCTGCATTTTAGACCATGGTATGGCTAACCCAATTGATCATTATCAGTATTTTTAGCTGTCCTAAACAAGGTAATCATTGGTCTAACAATACAAAATCAGTATACAGCTTAATTTTCGTGTAAATAGCCATATTTCGTGATAAATGATTTTATTTTTCAATAAATGTACATGGGGCCGTTCGTTGCTAGCGTCCCATTTATGGGACGTTTTTTAAAAAAATCGATATTTAAAAAAGTATTGATTTTAAAAAAAAATCCATAGTCATTCCTTCATTCAGTGCCCAAAAGCTAAACCATATCAAAAAATTATAAAAATTTGAGACCTTGGGATAATATGGGTTAAAGAATCCCAATATTTCATATGAGTATTTAGGTAACAACAGAAATTCAATAAGACATAAATTTTTAAAACCAGCTTACAACAAGCAGTGGGAAATCCACAGCTGCGATATAACTGTTACCATTGCTGATCTTAACATTAACTGTGATTGAAAAAAAAATTAAATAAAAAATTAAGTATTTTATAAAAAAATAAAAATTAATGAAGTTCTTTTTAAAAAGAATATAAAAAAGTAAAAAAAAAACTGAACAATTCAAAACAATTTTTTTAGGATACCAAATCTACAATCTACTCTATAATCTGTACAACATTACTTTTATGGAGTAAAAAGGAAAAGATATTTAAATCTAACCTTTCAGAAGAAATTCTTCTGGAAGATCACCAGCATGATTAAGATTCAACACAAACAAGTAATACCCATCAGCCCACGTCTTATGCAGATATTGTGCCTTATGATCTATCAGCTGTTAAAAATGTATATAGCTCTTTGTTTTTATTAGTAGCATAACTGTCAATGGAAGAAAGCTTAATGTACCATAATATAGTGTAATGATCAATAAAAGAATGCAATCCAACCAGTTGGAGGTTTGCCGGGAAGATTAATAGGCTCCAGCAAATAATGGAAAAAAAAACTTCTTAAATAATGAGCCTTTTTTTTTTGGATATATAAGTACTTAAGGGGAAATATTTGCATGCGCCAGGGACTCTTCTGAAAATATGGTTGCCATGGCAATGGCGGTCATTTGAAAAAAAAAGTTTTTAAATGATAAGAAAATATATACAAAACATATTTATACAATTTTTTTATAACAAGGGCCCTGATTATCTGTATATACTTTGATAAGCAACCTACCTCCTTTGAGAAAGCTACTTTTGGGGCAGGTTTCTTCTCCTCCTCTACTTTTTTTTTATCAGCTCCCTCTTCTGTAGCCCTTCGTTTTCTAGCTGCAGGTTTGGCATCACTCCCTTCCTTCACTGTATCAGCCTTTACAGGTGCAGGTGCTTCAGTTCCAGCACTCTCTGTTGGCATCTCTGTCTTGAACCAAAATACTTATTTCAACATGCCTTCACTATTTTTACTTTCTCGTATATACGAAGTATAGAGAAAGTCTTGTAATCGTGCAAAAAAATCGAGATTTTTACAAATCTCGACGTTTTACACCTCACTGATACTGAAAAACATAATTTTGCAGTCTTGTCCGTATGTCTGTGTGTGTGTGTCTGTGTGTAAACACGATAACTTGAGTACCGTAACAGCTAGGATGATGAAATTTTATATATAAGTATTTTATCAAAATCGTAGATACTGATCAACTTTTGAGCGACTTCCGATAACCGGAAGTGGTACTTTTTCTACTTTGAATTTTTCAAAAGCCTATAACTTGAGTACTATTTCAGATAGATAAATGAAATTTCACATGTAAGTAAAACATCTATATCTTTAACTTCTCTCTAATTTTGAGTAATTTCCGTTAACCGGAAGTACTAATTTACGCTATTTCCGATTTCTCAAAAAAACGCATGTAAATTTATAAAGTACTAATAATATTGCACACTATTATGAACATCTTAATCTGGCGTTCGCTTGGTGATCAATTTTTTTCTATGAGATTCTATTCTATTTTTAAAAGTTTAAGTATTTAAAATGGATTAAAAATCATAACTATGTCCCGAGTTCCCATCCCCTGTTGTTTAATATAAGAATATTCGAGAAAGTTTAGGGGAGATCACTCCCGGTTTATTTAACAATTTGTCAATCATATAATACAAATTGTGACCTACTTAGGTCGAGACAGGTTCTATTTTTATTTTGACATTGTATAATATCTTATATGGAGTGATTGTGCAACATAGAAATTTTCCATTAAGATCTGATTGAATGATTCTGGTCAGATGACTACCCCATAGCTCAATGGCTAGGATCTCGGCGCGCCACGGCGGCGGCCGAGGTTCGAATACTCGGTGAGAAACTGAGTAGAGTCTATGGTGTCTAGTGGTCTAGTGGCTTAGAAACTCGGCTTGCTGCCGAGTAATGTGGCATAGTGGTTAGGAACACCATTAGTGGCCTAGTGGTTAGAACCACGTAAAGTGTCACACCACAGGAAACACAACCAGCACGATAACAGTAGCTCAAGTGGCCTTGAGTGATCTGTGAGTCTCCATTTGAGACTTGTCGCGCAGGCAGTTTATATTGATCAGGCAGTTTTTACATTGATCAGGCAGTTTTACCTTGATCAGGCAGTTTTTACCTTGATCAGGCAGCCGTCCATATTGTCCGGCTATAGACTCTGACCATTTGAACGTGAGAGAACTTAAGTCCTGTGTGTGCCTTGCTTTCTTAAGTATGATTTAGTCTTCTAGTATAATATTACTTGTCGCCAAGTAATTCTTGAAGCTATAGCAGTGTTGTTTGGCCTGTGGCTAGTTTTTACAGTGGTGAAATCTGTGATAGTGTTTTTTCCTACACTCTGTAAGTTGGGTTTTGATATTTTATACATTAAATATTTTATCTAGTTTCACCTTTGTGTTCTGCCACAACTGTGTTCGCTGATTAAAGGTTGTATGTAGATTGGATGAGTGTTAATTACAATAGTATCACTAGTTTCCCCTAGACATTGAGTTCGAGCCCTAGTGTGTCGATGTGTTAGTGTTCATCCATTTAGGCCGTAAGGCATTTGCATATAACCCCGAAAAAAGAATCCGGGGACGTTCACCTTCTATTTGGCTGATAGATAGGGGACGTTACAAAGTGGGGGCTCGCCGAGATTTAATCTGTCGTTCCAGTTGTTGGTTATATCAGTAAGCACTAAGGTTAGTTTGATTTAGTTGTTTTTATATCCAGTAGCGCAGTGTTCTTACAACGCGCGCAAGCATAGAGTTATCTAGGTCAATAGCCAGACGTGTCGTCCTAGATTGAAGAGGTCAAGTACACGGCCCAACGCACCGTGTTAAGTTAAGGAACCTAGGCTTGTTGTGATTTGAAAGTTAGTGTTATGGAGTCTTTTTTGGCTAATCCCTCTTTTGAGCAGGTAGAAAAGTTGAGTAGAAAAGTTTTGATTAGTCTTGTTAAGGAATTGAAATTGGATTATTCTGTTACGCAGAAGTCAGAGGTGTTGAGGGATAAAATTGTTGTTCATTTTATTAATGAAGGGGTATTTGATGAAAGTTTGTTGGCTGGTGTGTTACTCCGGGAGGAGAAAGTTGCTTTAGAGAAGGCATTAAAAGAACAGGAGTTAGAGGTTAAAATTGCTTTAGATAGGAAGAGGTTGGAATTAGAGTTTGGTCAAGTTAGTGATGTCACTTCTCTGGTAGATCCAAAAAAGTTGTCGGTGGGGCAAGTGATTGCCAAATTCGGGAAATTAGTTCCTAAATTTGATGAAACAGATTTGGTCGTTTTCTTTAACTCATTTGAGAGTTTAGCGAAGACATGTGAATGGCCCAAAACTTCCATTACTGCTTTATTGAGCTCGGTCCTTACTGGGAAAGCTGCAAAAACATACCAGGCACTCTCTCACGACGTTCAAAATAACTATAGTTTGGTCAAGACTGCCATTTTGAAGGCCTACGAGCTGACGCCTGAGGCCTATCGGACAAAATTCCGAACACTCCGCAAGTTATCCACTCAATCATATGTGGAATTTCTCTTTGAAAAGGAGAAAATATTCTCAAGGTGGCTACACTCTGAAGAAGTTTCTGAGTTTGAGAAACTCAGGTCACTTATCCTAAGGGAAGAATTCCTATCGTCCCTGCCTGAAGAGATACGACTACACATACTGGATAACAAGATAATTGACATCCGGAAGGCTGCTGAGTCGGCTGACACATATATGTTGGTGCATAAGAAACCACCAGTGTCAGGAAACCGCCTCAACCCCGTGCTTCCCCTTTTTGGCAGCAATCTTCCTGTTGGCCAACACTTGAAGGCATCACAGTCCAGAGAGAACCCAAGATCAACTCTCAATCGTCGAGCAGTTTGCCAGTTCTGCAAAAGACCTGGTCATCATGTCAAAGACTGTTACAAACGTCTTCAATATAACAGAGAGGTGGTGCGTACTTCTGCGCACTATGCTCTATCCCCTCAAGCTGCCAGTTCAACTATGAACTCTAGAATTCTAAAGGACTCTAACCCTAAGTGTCCGCAAGAAGGTAGTCAAATTTCCACACATTATGTGCAGTCACATTTTGACTGTTCTCGCCACCATCCAGTTTCTTCCGAGTCTACCGATCTCGAGGGATCGAGAAAAGTTGACTTTTCATCTTTTATTGCCGAAGCCATCATTAGCAAACCAGGTGATCCGTTGTCTCAGCGGAATATCACCGTCCTAAGAGACACAGGAGCGTCACAATCACTTCTTTTGAAAAGTTCAATGGACATTTCACCAGAGACGAACACCGGAAGGATTTCCATTATCCAGGGAGTGGGGACAAAATCAACTGTCGTCCCTTTACACAAGCTTGCCCTGAAACATCATCTCGTCGAAGGTGAGGTCATTTTAGGTGTGATAGATAGTATTCCTGTCCCAGGAGTACACCTACTTCTAGGGAATGACCTTGCGGGAAGCAAAGTATACCCCTGTACGGTTTCAGACCCTTGGTCAACAGTTCCAGATAATGATTATGAACTGTATCCTGCATGTGCGGTGACAAGAAGCCAGACCAAACAATTGGCTGACATAACGTCTGAACCACACCCGCCATCATCGTCAAGAAATTCGACTCCCAAATTGGAGTCTATGCTTCCAGAAAACACAAGCCTGGGCTTACCCCTGAGGATATCTCAGGAAGACATCATTAAAGCTCAACAAGTCGACGCGGAACTCAAAGCAACGGTCGAAAAATCTCTCTCATCTGACGATGGAGAATATTTCTCCGAGAACGGCCTCTTCTTTCGTCGCGCTATACCAGTGAATGCCTCACCAGCCGAACCATGGTTGGGTAAAAACCAGCTGTGGATCCCTCCACCTTATCGGCATGAAATACTTAAGCTGGCACATGACCATCCAATGTCAGCACACCCAGGAGTCAATAAAACGACGGCGAAGATCAAAGAACTGTTCTTTTGGCCCAAAATGAGAAAAGATGTGTCGCGTTACTGCAGAAGTTGCACGAACTGTCAGTTGGCCGGAAAGCCAAACCAGACAATTCCTAAGGCCCCTTTGAGTCCGATTCCTGTATTAGAAGAACCCTTTTCAAAAATCGTCATGGACTGTGTAGGTCCCTTGCCTAAAACCAAGGCGGGCAACGAGTACCTACTTACCTTTATGTGTTCAAGTACCCGTTTTCCCGAGGCGATTCCCTTACGGAACATTAAGGCAAAGACTGTAGTCAGAGCCATGACCCGGTTCTTCACTACCTTTGGATTACCTAGAATCGTGCAAACAGATCAAGGCAGCAACTTCACCAGTCACCATTTTCAGGAAGCACTAGCCAAGCTAGGCGTTACCCACATCACCAGCTCAGCCTACCACCCCCAGTCTCAAGGCGTACTTGAGAGGTTCCACCAAACCCTCAAAACCACGCTAAGAACATTCGCTAATAGTAACACCCAATGGGATGAGACTGTTCCTTGGATTATTTTCGCCGCGAGGGACTGTGTCCAGGACTCTTTAGGCTACTCTCCTTTTCAACTTGTGTTTGGACATTCTGTCCGAGGTCCCCTGAAGCTGATCCACGAACAGTGGACAGGTACCAGCGTTCATCCTGTGGAAAACTTTGATGATTTTCACGTTCGACTGAAAGCCGTGTGCGAAATGGCTCACAAGAACTTAAGAAAGGCCCAAGTGAGAATGAAAGGACTGTATGATAAGAGTTCTTGTAAACGAACATTCAATCCAGGCGACAAAGTTCTTGTGCTAGTGCCTAATCTGAACAATGCGTTATCCTTGAGGTATTGTGGACCCTTTACTGTGCATTCAAAATTAAGTGATTTGAACTATGTTGTCAATACGCCTGACAGAAGAAGGAAACAGACAGTGTATCATGTTAACTCACTGAAAAAGTATTATGATAATTGTAACAATTTTCATTCCACAGCTAAAATTACTTTACCTGTATGTTCAAATGTTTCTGATGATGTGATACATGATAAATTGAAACCCCCAAAATTGGTAAATTCTTCCTTTTTAGATAATTTGAATGTCCACCTTATGCATTTGTCCACAGAGGAAAGCCATAGATTGTCTCAGTTATTCGAGACATTTCCCTCTATTTTTGGGGATGTCCCCAAAGAAGCGAAGGTTCCACCTCATGATGTAGACGTTGGTGACGCAAAACCCATTAAACAACACCCCTATAGAGTTAATCCGGAAAAAGCTGCTTTGATAAAAGATGAAATTGATTATATGCTCAAGAATGATATCATTGAGCCCAGTTTCAGCAACTGGAGTTCCCCATGTCTCCTAGTCCCGAAAGACGGTGGATCTTTCAGGTTTGTGACCGACTTTAGGAAGGTGAATGCGCTCACCAAAGCTGATTCCTATCCATTACCTCGAATAGAAGACGTTATCGATAAAGTTGGTCAAGCTAAGATAATTTCCAAAATTGATTTACTTTCAGGATACTGGCAAATCCCCTTATCTGACCGTGCAAAAGAAATATCTTCTTTTGTAACCCCTAATGGTTTTTATAGATACAAACGTATGCCCTTTGGTATGCGAAATGCTGGTCAAACTTTCCAGAGGGTCATTAACTCTGTCATTGCTGACATAGACCAATGTGAGGCCTACATAGATGATATAGTTGTATTTTCTAATACTTTTGAAGAACATATTGTTCAGTTGACTAACCTGTTTAGAAAATTGTCTGAAGTGAATTTTACTGTAAACTTACAGAAAAGTGATTTCTGTAAAGCTTCAATTACCTATTTGGGTTACCAAGTGGGAACGAACCAAGTTCGGCCCATTGAAGCTAAAGTAGATGCTATTGTAAGGTTACCACCTCCCAAAAATTGTAAAGAGATCAAAAAGTTCCTTGGGATGGCTGGTTACTATAGGCGGTTCTGTCAAAACTTTTCAGCTATTGCTGAACCTCTTACTGCATTATTAAAAAAGGGGGTTGAGTTTGAATGGTCAAATAAATGTCAAGAAGCTTTTTTAACCATTAAGTCATTTTTATCTAATGCTCCTGTTATGGCTGCCCCAGATTTCAGCAAGCCCTTTAAACTTGCCATTGATGCTAGCAACTTAGCCATTGGCTCAGTCCTATTTCAAGAAGACAACATGGGAATTGACCATCCCATTGCCTTTTTTTTCCAGGAAGTTAAATGAAAACCAAAAGAATTACTCTACTATTGAAAAAGAAGCTTTAGCTTTGGTTTTGTCATTACAACATTTTGAAGTCTATGTCTCTTCTTCAACCAATCCAGTCAGAGTGTTTTCTGACCATGATCCCCTGAAATTTACCTCTAAGTTAGGACAGACAAATCAAAGAATATTGAGATGGTGTTTATATTTCCAAAATTTTAATCTGGAAATTTCACACATTAAGGGTAGTGATAATGTTGTGGCTGATTGTTTGTCAAGGATGTAAAATTTTATTACACACATTGATCATGTGACATGTTTTGTGGTTTATTAAGACCATACACAAGTGTTGTGTTTTAACATGGAAATGAGTGGTATGATTTTGATTTTTACAAAATTCCAATTCTATTGAATATTTTGTTTATTTTCAGGTGAACCTTAATTAAAGGTGGTTTTTGATTATATGTAATCTTTTATAATAATATGTCTCATATGACTCAGTTGATATTGTAGCTAGTCATTGAAATAAAGGTCTTACCCTGGCGGGTTTACCACTTTTAATATCCTCATGGAAATATTGTAATACCCTTTTTTGAGGGATTTTGATGTATAATTACCTTTTGAAGGGTTACTTCCCTTTCGCCAATTGTAAAAGTTTGAGTTACTTCCCTTTTATGTTCAGGGATATTTTCATCTGGAATTATGATTTTGATTGCCTACATTTGTAAAACATTTTTTTTATTTCATTGCCAGATTGGTTCCTTATGTATGTTTTTGTGGAACCTATCTGTCACTTCCAAAAAGGGAGGGGATGTGACCTACTTAGGTCGAGTCAGGTTCTATTTTTATTTTGACATTGTATAATACCTTATATGGAGTGATTGTGCAACATAGAAATTTTCCATTAAGATCGGATTGAATGATTCTGGTCAGATGACTACCCCATAGCTCAATGGCTAGGATCTCGGCGCGCCACGGCGGCGGCCGAGGTTCGAATACTCGGTGAGAAACTGAGTAGAGTCTATGGTGTCTAGTGGTCTAGTGGCTTAGAAACTCGGCTTGCTGCCGAGTAATGTGGCATAGTGGTTAGGAACACCATTAGTGGCCTAGTGGTTAGAACCACGTAAAGTGTCACACCACAGGAAACACAACCAGCACGATAACAGTAGCTCAAGTGGCCTTGAGTGATCTGTGAGTCTCCATTTGAGACTTGTCGCGCAGGCAGTTTATATTGATCAGGCAGTTTTACCTTGATCAGGCAGTTTTTACCTTGATCAGGCAGCCGTCCATATTGTCCGGCTATAGACTCTGACCATTTGAACGTGAGAGAACTTAAGTCCTGTGTGTGCCTTGCTTTCTTAAGTATGATTTAGTCTTCTAGTATAATATTACTTGTCGCCAAGTAATTCTTGAAGCTATAGCAGTGTTGTTTGGCCTGTGGCTAGTTTTTACAGTGGTGAAATCTGTGATAGTGTTTTTTCCTACACTCTGTAAGTTGGGTTTTGATATTTTATACATTAAATATTTTATCTAGTTTCACCTTTGTGTTCTGCCACAACTGTGTTCGCTGATTAAAGGTTGTATGTAGATTGGATGAGTGTTAATTACAATAGTATCACTAGTTTCCCCTAGACATTGAGTTCGAGCCCTAGTGTGTCGTTGTGTTAGTGTTCATCCATTTAGGCCGTAAGGCATTTGCATATAACCCCGAAAAAAGAATCCGGGGACGTTCACCTTCTATTTGGCTGATAGATAGGGGACGTTACAAAATGAATATTGTTTTGCCCTGTTGAGAGCCAAGTCTAAAAATAGCAATATTTAAAATTACATGAAAAATAATATATTTTTTACACAGCACTTCAAGTTTCACTAAAAAACACAAAAATAACTTAATGATTTTTTCATTTCTTTATTTTATTTAAAGAACAATGAATAAATACTGAACGAAGTCACTTAGAACATTTATAATAAATAATATTTTTTTTTATTTAGGGCTTAATTTGTTTAATGAGAGATTTGAAATTTCTAATCTATTTTAATATCAGACCTAATAAATTGAAATTTTAAAATCCAAGTGAATCATGCAGTTTTAAAACTCCTCAAATATTTCTATATATAATTCTCTTCTGGGATCAGTTAGAAAACAAGCTGCAAGCGCGCCTTTGCAGTCCCCTCTCTTCCTCTCTATCTCTATCACTACCACCCCCACCCCACCCCCACATGATCTGGTGAGCGGTGTTCACTCTGTTTACATTTTACAATCATAGAGACGGGTTTGGTGACGGCTATTAGGGGCAGATAATTTAGTTTGAAAAGATTTTAAACTTAGAGGAGGTAACTAAGAGGAGGCTGTTTTCACGGGGGGGGGGGGGGGGGGGGGTATTTTTAAGCAAATATTTTCAGTGGCAGCATTGGTACTGCCGAATTCACAAATTATAAGAAAAAAAAACAACTAAATAGCGGCGTATGATACGCAGCGGGTCGGCTCGTTTCTTATAAATTTCTATACTAACATATGTTCTTACTTACTGGGGCATCTGTTGCTTCAATAGGATGGGTGGCATTGGCAGCCTGAAACAAAAGTACATAACATTACATTTGTCAGAACCTTGTCCAAATATTTTGTTAAAATGATTTTATGGCCAACTGGCCATTAACAAGTAAAAAGAAATTCAACTGCTTACATGTAGAATAATTCTTTTGTGTTTGTCACAATAGTAAGTGCCTGAACCAGACACATATTCTGTCCTCTCTGTGGGCAATGACTTATGCCAAGGCAATTTTAAATAATAGGCAGCGACATGCTGAAATTGTACAGTGAAAACAGATTTTTTTAAAAAAATGTAATTCACTAATACAGATTTGGAATAATTTCAAATATTTGAAAATCCACAAATTTTTGTATCATTTCTTATGATTCTAAAAAAAAATTAATAAAAAAAAACAGGACAATGCCAAGGCATTTGTAAATAATACTTTGCAATAGACTGAAATGGCTTAAAAATAAATAAAAAATGAAAACAGGTTTTCCATGTTATACATCTAAACAGATTTGAAGTATTTTTTTATTTTTAATAATTCACAAACGTTGTAACTTTTATTAAATGATTCTATATCTAAATAAAGTCTTGAGGAAGATAAAAAAAAAGGTATGAAAGTTTTAAAACTGTTATACCGAATTAACTGCAACATATTCATTTGCACAGGAAGATCGACGAAATATCCATGACAGTTTAAAGGTTGTTTTAGAATCAAATTCACAAAAAACTGAAAGAAAATGCTGTTACATTAACCAATATAGATTTACCTTAGCAACAATGTAATATAGATCTAGTTGATATAGTTAAGGCATTAAATAATTAAATTAAATATGTTTGTTTAAACAAATCAATATTTTTCTGGACTTCTGAAAAATACTAAGATAGATAATTTTAAAAGTTTGATTTTTTTCAAAAGATTTAAAATATTGTTTAGTATTACTATTTAGTAATAGAACTAGAGTCATGGTATTGTTTGGATAATCAAACTATCAACACACTAGCTACTTAGTACTAACCTAGATCTAGATCTATACCATGTATTATATATTACTAGACTCTAGAATTTTACTCTAGATCTAGATCTAAATTGTAAAATAATATATTATATTACTTTACAATTTAGATCTAGATCTAGAGTTAAATTCTAGAGTCTAGAGATCTAGATCTAGATCTAGCTTTCTAGATCTACATACAGTAAATTAAAAAATATATAAATAGTTTTAAAGAACAACTAAATAAATTTGATTGACACCAATATGGGTTAATTTTTAATTAGTAACTAGATCTAGTATTACAATTCAAAGAACCGATTTCTTGCCATTTTTATTAATAAACTGCTGTTAGAAAAAAAACTTTTGGTACATACTTGTCACCGACAACTGACCATCCTCGTAAACACTCTTTATTGCATAAAGTAATAGGGTTTCCTGTGGATTTGTACTGTAGAATTTAAATTCTATAATCTAAATGTAAGTTAATTAAAAAGTAAGATAGAAATAAAAATGCAAATTTTAAACGTTCTGGTAATCATGTAAAATAATAGTTAATAATGTTTTTAATTTACCATACTAAAATATTTATGTAGCTACCTTTGTAGCCTCAACATATTTTAGAGTATAGATCTAGATCTAGTTACATTTCTGTAGGTCGTTCATTTAGATTAAGATCAAACACATTTTTCTGTGTTTTATTTTATCTTAGTGCCTTATGTAAATGGTATAGCCCACTTGTGATACTGTTGTTTCTAATACTAATACTAAGGGTTTTAATATTTTCGTCTATTACTAGAAATCAAATATTGCAACGTGGGTTTTAGTGGGATGTTAAAGTAATCAATGGGGAGATAGAAGCACCAGGCTCAGTTGAGGCTCCATTGATTTCTTAAACATGGGTAGTAAACGATTTTTAGAAAAAACTTCTCCTCTCAAAACAAAAAATTAATAATTTTGAAATTGCATTTCTCTGAACGTTTTCATTTGAATATCTAAGAATGTTATTTTTTTGTTATTATATTTTTCTAAGCTGTCTTTTGTAACGTTTTTTTTTGTTTCATATGAATGCTGCTGTAGTTCCCCACCACCCCCCCCCCCTCTTCTACACCAAATTGTAACATATTGTCACAAAAATTCACATCACCCCCAAAACCAGAATTCTTTTTATGAAAATCATGTATTCCGAAAAGGGAAAGAAGCAGGCTAGGTTGATTTGTCGAAAAATATTAATTGAGTTCTTTCCCTTATCTTGAAAAATGTCTAATATGTTGATTTCTCGCAATATTAGTATCCCTCATCGAGTGCTGATATTAGTATCAACTCTAGGATCATAGATCAGTTTTCAGTACAAATTAAGAATTAACGAAGACTTTCAATTATTTAATGCTTAATTATAATATTTTAAAATTAAAATACTTTTTTTTCAGGATTTTTTTTTTTAAATTGCTGATGAAATTTTTTTTAAGAATGTTTAGATCTAGATCTATTATATACAGTGGTGCTTCCACAAATGAGTGCCCACACACGCAAGATATTTTTAGATACGAGCTGTCGTGCAAGCTAAAATTTGCTTTGACATAGCTTTTTGCCGTATCACATAAGCAATGTAGAAAACCGTCTGTAGAACCAAGTAAGTAGCTTTCAATTTTCTTAAGTACGACTGTAATGCAGATCAGAATAAGCTTTTTATTTTATTTTTCTACCCAATTTAGATCCCCCTTAAGGTCGGAGCCCGGGCTCCGCCCGCCCTTCTATAGCTACAAATTTGAGAAGATGTTTTTGTTTCGTGAATCTGTCATTATCCTTTGTAATACCCGATAAAACTGGCTTTTAGTTACAATATTCTGAAAAAAAAAAGACTTTGTAACATTAACCCCAAATAGCTACCCTACCTACCCGGAAGTAAGATTTAGAGCCCATATTTACAAATATACGTATTATTTTCCATAGCCTTATAATAACTAGAAATCTACGTAGTAAAAGAAATAACTATAAAATTATAAAAACTATTAAATATTAAAAATTAAATGTTGATGCCGATCTATTTTTCTTATTAACTAATCAATAAAAGGTAAAGTCGAGCATGTCAAGTTAAACAAATAGCCTACTTAGTACTTACCTTACTGATCTCGAAATCCCAAACTCCTTGTTGGGGCAAGGCGTAATTCGATGCAAACAATTCCAGAACAAAAAGCAAGCTTGTTGACAACAACTTCGCCATTTTTCTTTGACACTAGGGAATAGGTTCGGTGTAAATCGTTTACTAGGATCTTGCTGGGGGGAAAATAAGCGTGTTGTATAGACCTAGTAAATAAGGACAAGCGGATGCAGCTGATAATGGACTGATCCAACCGAAACGCGTAACGTAAGCCTACTGATCCGCGCCCCGGGCGAACTATATATATATATATATATATATATATATATATATATATATATATATATATATATATATATATATATATATATATATATATATATATATATATATATATGTTTGCATGCGTGCGTGTGTGTGGCTCACCAAATCTTGGAATCTAAACTCAGTACAGTGGTATATCTTGTATTACAATAAAAGAATATCGAATTTTTTATCTAATTTGATAGATAATTAACATTTAATTAAATATGTAAAAATGACTATATTTTCAATAGTAGATTCTGCAAATCTTGGGATCTAAATTTAACCTGCTCACCACTGTCCGATTAGCTTTTCATATTTAAATGTATACATGAACGTAATATGCTGAGCGTTATGTTTAGTGTTTTAAATTATATTAATAGAAAAATATACATTTTAGGATCTGTTCTAATCCTCGCTCAAAAGTAAATAATTAGATTACACGAATTTTTTTCTGCTGTTTTTTTTTCTACATTTGGATTTCTAAAATGTATCCTTTTTACGATTCTTTGTTTATGTTGCAAAGAATAAGAGATCGCAAATACTGTAAGATCAAATTGTGAGGTCACAATATATCAGACTGTGGGGAGTGGGTTGTAATAGAGTTTATAGCACCTGCTCGAAGACTTAAATAATCGTTATCATTAATCATCTGTTGGATTTTAATTAATAGAAGTTTTAGGAAATGTTTAAATTCGCCATTTGAATTCACGAAAATGTAAAATACAAATCGGGCATTTACTCCTATAAACCTTGGCTCAGGTTTTGTATATGGACGTTTCTTCCATGTCGGGAAAAAACAGCGTCAATGTTTAAATATTTCATTTTTGCAAAGCCATTTGAGCTCTAGCCTAAGAGAGAGAGAACAAAATTATCTGCCATTTAGTACTTTTACTCTTTTATTATATTAAATAACTTTACAATACTTTTTATTTCAATACAAAATGATGTGTTCGTATTTCTCAGTAGCATCGACTGTTTTGTGTTTGATCTTTCTTTTGATTGTAACTTGCTGGTACAATTACCAAAATATGTAGCACGTAAAATGATACTCGAAGGTGTCATCTATTTATGACGTCCTAAAAAAAACGATGTTTTAGACACCACTCCCCCCTCCACCCTCTCAATCCCATCCACTCCTCTAATAGAACAGTTTTCAGTTATCACATATGTTTTAATAAAATAGTTCATGAACTGAGAAGTTTACGAGATGTTTTTAAGCACATGCGTACTGCATATTTAGTTAAAATAATACCAAGTGAAAAATATGACTAAAATAATGTATAGCCTTTTTTACGCATTCTTTTCAGTGTCAAAAATAGGTGCTAGATATGTTTTTGTAATGAGTAAACTAAAAACAAAACAAAAACTTCTAATAATTATTTTAAAAATTGTATTTTATTTTTAAAAAAAATAACTTTTAAAATGTAGTAATCCACTGTAATGAAATAAAATAATAATATTACAGACTTAAAGTAAACCATAACGAAAACAAGATAGTGAAAGTTAAATACAACTGTTCGGCTTGCCACATTTTTGTCGGCCATCAAAAGAATTACCGATAGTTTCGAAATAGAATTAGTTAATGCCCTAAATCAGTTTGGTCCTTAAATATGGCATTTGGTTTACTTAGAATGGATATACTTGCAATAGAATAAATTAAATCGGTAACTATTTTTTATTTAAAATATTTTTACTTTAAAAGGTAATGAACTCCTAGTGTATTAAATAAATAAATCTTTTTGGTCCCTTTAGAACTCATTTGCCTGTACATTAGAAAGAGAGGCGGCAGCTTATGCCGAAATGGAATAGCTTTAAAATGTGTAAATACATGCAGAAAAATTATGAGAAGTAGATGCATAAACACGCTCAGACCATTGACGTATTGACGCCCAGTTTTGTTCTGTGGTACCCATGGGCTCTGGTAGGTGTTCTATTGTCCATTGACTGGGTATAAGCTAGATACGATCTCATTGGTGCTCCTTGAATCATGCCATAGTTTTTAGTATAGTTCAGCAAATGTGAGAAGGCATGCCTGAATAAAAAGAGTATGGGAACAATTATTTTTAAATGTATCAAATTTTATGCCTATTCATAATGGTTAGTGTTTTACTCTATAAAATCATTTCATTTCACTCATTATTAAATAACAAGATTTTACACTTTTATTAGGCTATTCCTATCCATAATGGTTAGTGTTTTACTATATAAAATCATTTCATTTCACTCATTATTAAATAACAAGATTTTACACTTTTATTAGGCTATATGAAGTATGTAAAAGGAGCAAAATAACACTTCTTTAATAGGATCATAGCGATTGCATTGAACAGAAACAGCTCCTTGTATGACTGTATAGTTTTGTACAACAAACCTCAAGTTATGTGAAGTGGGACGCCACAGCATCATAATAACAATAAGAATCATAGAAAACAATATTTGCCACAGTGCATCATATATCCACTGTTGTTTCAAATCCTAAAAGAAAAACAAAACATCAATTTAAAAAAAAAGTAGTGTTATTTCAAGAGTCGGCAGAAAGAATTACGATAAAAAAAAACATAATTAGGCCTACTTACATGTAGACCCATTTTATATGTTTATGTGGAGTTCTTAAAAATTACAGTTTTAAAGAACTAATGCTGCTATACTTGAAATAATCATGTACTAAATTATGCACAAAACGTTTTTCAACTTTTAACAGAAAATCAATTACTAAACAAATTGTTCTATATCAGAAGGATTTGAGACAACGATTTTAACTTATTTTTAAAAAAGGCTTACAGAAAAGCATTGTTGAAATTGGTGATGAACCAAAAACCATATCATGTATGCTTGGGAAACTAGTTAAAAAATTAAGAAAGATATAATTCTGTATAAGAAAAATTACAAGTAGAAAAACATGAAAATAAATTTTAGATCTAATGCTAGATTTCCGTTTACATATTAACATATGTAACGTTGACATTTTTTGTCGCACCACCTTTCAGATATACGCTTTCACTGGCTATTTGTTTTAATATGTTCAATGTTAAAATTAATTTTATTTATTTTCGAGAACTTTGCATACATTTATGTTTTCATATACGTAATAATGTGGCAACAAAACGAAAATCTAATTTATTTGGCTTTTTTTTTACCAAATTTAATATTTCTCAGCTCTTTGAAATATTAAAAAATTCATCCAGTTTCTACAACAATAATACAAACACGCATAATTAAATTTTTATGAACAAATATGTTTAAAAATATATCTAATAGAGCTACTTAAAACAAATTCTTAAAATATATTTTACAAGAATTGTTTTTGGAGAATTTAATCTCTTTAATGTCATCAAGTTGTTATAATACATACACAATTTTGCATCTACCTATTGTAAAAAATATCAGAATATTCCTGAAATGTCTGTACATTAAAAGTTGAACTTCTGTAGCTTTTTTATTTCTCAACGTCCGTAGGGACTGTCTTAGGGATTTAATTATGTGAGAATTGTTAAGGTAGTTTTGTTATTTAATTAAACTTGAAGAAACTAAAAAAAAGTAAAATCTACACATCATATCTATGACAACTTTTTGTGATTTTATTTATTATAAAACACGAATAACATAATTACTGCTAGTACAAAGGTTAAAGCCAAATAACTAGTTTCGGGGTCGTCCATAAATGACGTCACACTCCTGAAGGGGCTGGGGGGGGGGGGGGTGAAGATCACACTTTTGCATTTTAAAAAGGCAATGTTATAAACTGAATCTTGCCGTTATTTTTTTTTTAGGGAAAAATACTTTTCATTGTAATAAAAATTGATTAACATACTCTATGTTGAACGAACACATTCAATATTTTAAAAGAAAATCGATGTTTTAAATTATTAAACTGCAATTTTAAAGGGGAGGGGGGGGGGTTGAAGGTTGAGATGTGACGTTAGTTTAGGGAAAGGGGAGGCTTTTTGTAAGGATGTGTGACGACGGAGAGGGGTAAAATCGTCAAAAAAGCGAGACGTCATTTACGGATGACCCAATAGATGAAAAAATAAAATTAAGTCCATTTATATTCAAAAACAATTTTTAAAACTAAAATGAAATATTGGCCTATTGAACAAATAAAAGATCAATTTTCTACTGAGTTAAAAGAAAAAGGACAAATAAAAGAGCAAAGGATATCCAATAGAAAATAATGATGTCAATCGTTAGCAATGAAAAACCAAGCAAATATCCTTGTGTTGATTGGGTTGCTTTCTCCTAAAATAAAAGAAGTATTTTTTAACGAAATAGCAAGGCATTTAAGTCACACAATTAAATTGTTATTTTAAAAGATGTTTTCCCGACTATGATAAAGTACATATAAGAAAACAACCAGCATAAGAATATGAAACAGAATTTATTGTAAGATTCTAGTAGCTACTTACTATTGTGTGGATTATCATTTAGCATAAATGCTGGTCTTTAAATCTTATTACTTTGTAACAAAATATGTAGGAAACAGTAGTAAACCTCTAAGTTAATGTTAGCAGCTGACACCAGTTCAAGCGACTTCTTGTAGACTACCATCATACCAACAGATTCGTTAAAAATATATAGAAATGAGCTATATAATTAATAAAAATGGACAGAACATACATTGAGTATCCGCATACACCCTTCAATAGAAGCGAGGATGAAAAACACAACTCCGACAAGAAAAACTTTATAAAATGTCTGTCCTAGTCTTGGCCTGGAAATATGGGTTAGAACAAAATCAAAATATATACAAATGAGCTAACGCTGCTTACAACTTTCTATTTGTATTGAACACTAGTGGCATAATTAGCCGTAAGCCAAAATATGAACACAAAACGGGAGTCATGCGGGTAATGTCAGAGGCGTAGAGAGGGGGGGGCATAGTATAGCATTCTTTTAAATAGATATTTTGTTATAAAATAAGGTGTGTATTGTACTGAAATTGTAAAAAAGTAATATGTGCGAAAGTTTATTTAATATAATATTTGATTTACACTATTAAAAAGCATTTGCAGTTCTAATAACCCTGCGAGATATAAGTATGAGAATACTCCAATGTTTGCATGTCATGAAATTACTCAGACTGTTTAAGATTAGGCCCTAATCACTCCTCTTAACAGTCAATCACCAATTAAAAAAAACATTCAAACTCTCAAACTTTTTTGGAAAACATAAGCGAAGCTAGGCAGTATGCCTAGTATTATTATAGCACTGCCTTTGGTTTTCTTTAATCTTTTATATACCCATGCCTAACCCAGTTGTACCAAATACATACTCCAGAGAAACAACATGTATAAATATAGTTATAAGTAGCAACCTCAACAGAACAAATCGGATAACAATAGTTGTCCTATTAGTTAATGTCAAATATCTTCGCAAGAACGGCCCTCAGAAAATCCATTAACAAATAATCAATAACCTCTAAAAAAAAATTGCTATGAATGTTCAAAAACGCGCACCTTATGTACAAAGAAAAGTACCAAAAGTAAGCATTGTCAACATTAATGGATTGACTACGTTTAACACACAGACAAATTCTAAATTTTAAAGCGTCTCGAAATTTACAAAATACAAATATACTAGGCCTAATACTAGTAATGTTTTTAAAGCAACCTACTTGACAATGCCATAGCCAAGACTGACAATTATGACCAGCATTCTGGCAAGTGACCGCTTTAAGCAAGAAACCAACTCAGCAAAGATAATGGCTCCCCTCACAGACTGGCCTGTATTGTTGATGTTCTCATATTCACCAAAGAAAACAGCCTTCTCAAGCATACCTATAACAGAGAATATTTTTAAATTAATTTTTTTTAAATGTGTAAAAACTCAATGTACAAGTTAATTAATTCATTATTGAAAGAAGACTACCTATGAGAATAATTCCTCCAATCCAGAAGTGTATCCTATGTAAATCTGGCCAGTTACAAGCTAGTAAAATAAGCCACACAATGCCAAAACCAAGGTACACAAGGGCCATAACACGATAGAACTAGAAATTAATAAAATCCACATTAAAACAATAAAAATCACAATCTTTTACATGAGTTAGTAGGTCTGCTTTGTTATAAAACAAAACTTCACAGGTATTAAATAAACAAAAAAGCAGCTTACAATTAGAAGTGGGTAATCCACTGCTGAGATGTAACTATAACCGTTGCTGATCATAACATTAACTGCAATTGAGAGACTTTGTTTAAAATATTATATAATAGATCAATATTATTAGCTGCAATTGACTCAGCTTTTCAAAAAGGTGAACTTTGAGCAAGGTATTTTAAAAAATGCATCAAAAGCGTTTTAATAACAAATTTTTATGAAATAATGCACTAAAAGGAGAAAATAAATGATTTTTCTTTAAATATATAATAATACACTTCTATTTAAATAGTAAGTAATGTAAAGTTTCCCTTTCAAACCTGACGGTCTATGGGGCAAGTGAAGTAGAATTCACTTGTTTCTGTGACCTCGGCATATGAAGAGTGTGGTCGGCACTATGCCCAGCCGTCTTTACTTTCCCTAACGTGAGCTAGGTACCCATCAGAGTTGGGTGGACTCAGTGACGGTCTACTGACTTGAACCCGTATTCGAACTCGAGAATTACGGGTTAGCAGTCCTCTCTACCGCTAGACACATCCGTCCCTACTATTTAAATAACTATAAAGAAAAGCGTGAGTCTCTTCCTAAAAATTAGTAAAGGTATCCAATTGATATTATATATTGACCCATAATTTTCTTTACGGTTATTTAAATAGTAGTGTATTATTAGTCCTATATATTTTAAGAAAATCATTTATTTTCTCCTTTTTAGTGTATTATTACATAAAAAGCTTGTTATTAAAACTTTTTAAATGCATTTTTAAAGTCTAAATATTGCTGCAACATTTTTTATTTAAGAAATCGATGATTATTACAGTTTTAAGTAAACAATGGTAACTCAAACCTTTAAGAAGAAAATCTTCAGGAAGATCATCAGCATGATCAAGATTCAAGACAAACAAGTAATACCCATCAGCCCACGTCTTAAGCAGATATTTTGCCTTTTGATGAATCATATTTTTAAAATGTGGCTCTTAATTTTTTTTTAATTAGCAGTAATGCAAATGGTTTTAGAAAAAAAATAAGATAATATTATACAGTACATAAATTACATATGTAGAAATCCTTTTACCAAATATTTATTGACAATTACTTCGAAGCAAGCTAGTCATGAACAAGTAAAAAGAACTTTAATTGCTTACATGTAAAATAAATTTCGTGTCTGTGTCACAATAGTGAGTAAATGAGCCAGTTGCATATTCTGTCTTTTGGGTGGGCAATAGCTTTTGCCATGGCATTTGTAAATAGAACTTCGCAGTATACTACAAAATAAAATAATAATAATAGTAATAAAGGGTATTGAAATATACTTATAAAGTCATGAATAAAAAGTCATGCTTTGATGATTAGCAAAATAATATAAATTATTAAAAACAATTATACCATATTTATATTGACATATTCATTTGCACACGAAGATCGACGAATCATCCATGTAAGTTTGAAGGATTTGTAAGAACTACTTTTACAAAAAACTGAAAGAGATAGTTGAAACACCAACATAGATTTAGCAACATTAAGCTTTCCTTTATAGGTATTAAATAAGTAGTGTATTATTATACATTTAAGGAAGTCATTTATTTTCTCCTTTTTAGTGCATTATTATATTAGAGCTTGTTCTTAAAAATTTTAAAGCATTTTTATGTAATAAAATATCATGTTTTGTTATTTATCTTTTAAAAAACAATCTAGATTTAGGATAGGAAATAACCACTTTGATTTTAGCCGGAGTTTGACTGACACATGTTAGATTATTAACACTGGAAGTAGATTAGATCAACCCCTGTTAGGAGCAACGTTGAATAATAATACACGAACATACTAAATAATACGCTTATTTATATTTGGGCACACACAGATTAGAAATCACTTTTACAAAAAAGACGACTAAGAAACAATGGAAAAATAAAATCATTCGCAATACATTTTGTCACAAAAAGTGCTGTGGTACATACTTGTCAATGATAACTTGTCATCTTTAAAAATACTTTTTGTTGCATAGAATAATGATGAGGTTTTCTGGGGATTTATATTGAGCTGTTTATACACACACACACACACACACACACACATATATATATATATATATATATATATATATATATATATATATATATATATATATATATATATATATATATATATATATAGTGATTCGAGTAAAAACAGTGATCGAACAAACCAACCAAACTGTTTTTAACTTTTATAACTTATTATTATCAACAACGCTTAATACACATGTACGCCACTTGACAGATGGGTAATGATGACACCATCTTAAAACGTTAAATTAATAACTGATAATTAGATAAACAATGACGCCAACAGTAGTGTGTGTGTGTATGTGTGTGTAAGTGTGTATGTGTGTGTGTAAGGGACTATGTAACCAGTGAGAGGGGGCGGGTGATTGTTGTATTAGTGGACTTGTCACTAGTTGTCCTATTCCCTGATAAAACTCGCCTGAAGAAATACATTGAAAAATACAACCCGGAAGTAAGATTAAAAATTTAAAACCTTTTTCTTTCAATTAGCCTCTACCCACAAATATATTAGGTAAATAACAATGTAGTATATACAAGTAAAATAACTAGACAAATTATTAATTGATGTTAAACGAACACCTACCTTATTAATATAGGAATCCCAAATACCTTGTTCGGGTATAGCTGAAATCGATTTCAACAACACGAGAACAAAATACAAGCTTGTTGACAAGCTCGCCATTTTTTTCTCTGGCAATAGGGAACACATTCGGTGTAAATCTTTTACTAGGATCTAGGTGGCTGAAAAATAAGCGTGCTGTAAGGTAAATACTGAAGCGTGGATGTAACGTATTTCAACGGTTGACGAACTACACCGTTAGTGTTCATTTCAGACATTTTTCTCCTGATGCAGTGAAGGTGCTACCCCCCCCCCCCCCCCCCGAAAAGATGCCAGAAAGAAAGTCTGGACCCCATCCTATCCCCCATCAGTCGCCACGTTGCCGCTAGAGATCGTGCACATATGATAATAACACAGACGTTGGGGGGGATGTTAATCATGTTATGTTGTTGTATAAGGGATGGACAGGGTGGCTTTTTGAATTTCCACTTTTACCACACGTTTTTGGCGCATCTCAGCCTTGTATACCGATCAGCACACAGAGCATGTAGGCCTACAAACTCTTCGAGGTCGATACATTCCATTTACGTTTTTAAGCACAATACTTTTTTAGTCAAACTGTTGGAGGTACTTAACTTTTTAATGTACTTAATATGAAATGTTTAGATTATTGTGGTTGATCTATTGTTTAGCACCAGTAGAATGTATGTCCTGTATGTTAGTGTTCAAATGACCCCGTAAGAGACCGCAGGACTTGCTCCTATTTCCACAGTCCTTTTCCTGGATTGTTTTGGCTGGCTCTCCCCTTGGGAGTTCCATTCCAACGCTTGCCTCGCAATGTTTTATCATTCTTGTCAGGGCGTGACCAATCCCCCGCATTTGAGGGTTTTAATAACCCTGTCTATAGAGTGGTGTCTTGTGATTTGCTCCAGGTATTCGTTGAAATATTTTCCCCTGGTCAGCTTATCTTTAGAATGTGTCTCTGACATCTATTTGTATGCAATAAAATTGTTTATATTTTGAATTTTTGAGTGAAAAAGTTGTCATAGATCATTTACATATCCGTTGACAAAGATCATTTAAATATTCGTTGACAAAGATCACTTACAAATTCTTTCTTTTAACTCAGTGTACGTCTTCTTGGTTGTTTATAATTAAGACGTGACATTTGATTTGTGTTAAATAGTGTGATAAAAGTTGTCAATGGTGTGTGATGGTGATTTATGTACATGTTATATTTGAGCTAGGATGCATAAAATATCCAACTTTTTTGTTAGAGAGAGAGAATCCAGCATGCGAAGGACCATATTCAAGACGTGCTAAAGAAAATATTAATATATCTAATGGAACCTCATTTTAATTATATATAGTAAGCTGCGTTATTTTTTCTATGGCGCAGCAAAAGTTTATTGTGTTAAATTTCATGTATGGTTTTATTGGAAATAGTATAAAGGCAGCTGATGATAGGATTTAGTTTTATCCAGATTTTTCAAATGCATAAAAAACGTTTTAATATCATGCTTTTATGTAATAATGCACTAAAAAGGAGAAAATAAATTATTTTCTGTAAATATATAATAAATATATAAAGAATTATAAAGAAAAGAAATGTAACTAAGAACATTTATCAATTCTCAAATGTATCAATTGTTTAGCATAAACATTTAAAATACTTTACATCAACAAAACAGCAGGTTTTCTTTTAATTTATAAACTTCATCATGTTTATTTCGGTTAATTAATATACATTGTATTCCCTAAAAGCTGTTCAATATCTCGATGTGACGTATATTGTACTGTTTGTTTATATTCATACTCTGCTTTTGGTTATGTAGTCTCACATCTATTGTGGCCAACAAAAGTTCATCTATTGTTTAATTGTATGTTTTGAAAGACTACGGGACTTTTGTGGATCCGTCCAAGTTTGCCAGGCAGAAAGATCTTGGTTTATGTACCCAGCAGGCTTATTTATTCTCCGATACCCACGAGTTCTGGTAGGTGTTCCATGGTCCATGAACTGAGGGCTGGTTTGGTCATAGTTTAATGATGCTCTTTGCGTGACGCATGCGTCATCTGTAGAATCCAACACAGGTGTGAAGGCATACCTGGATTAAATTAGCAGGGGAAAAAAATATATAATTAATATTGACAAATGTTATACCTGACCATTAAGTTAAGTTTATTATATTCAATTTTTAAATGCCTCATTATAAAAAAAAAAGTTTTGCTATATGTTCTATCAGGCTGTTGTTTTTTTTCATGGGTAACAGGGCAAAACAAAGGTACCAACTCTTCAATATGAAGTTGGTTTTACATGTAGTTCAAATTAATTACAAAACAACTCTTTGTTTTTAAATCAAGTTTGTTAAGAAACAAACAAAAAAACAACAACACAATGTTAGTGAAATAATATAACTATAGTTTTAAACATAGCCTAAAGTCCATTGTATGACTGTGTAGCTTAGTAGTACAAACCTAAGGTTATTTGAAGTAGGATGCCATAATACCAAGTTGATAAACAGTAACAGAGAAAATAATATGTGCCAGGATGCTTCATCCATCCACAGTTCTTTCCAATCCTAAAATAGAAAAAAAATTATATTTCAAATAAAACAATGACAATAATATTTCGGAAAGAAATATACAACAATCATAGTACCAGTACACACAATTTTTAAAAATTATTTAAGCAAGTTTTTAAATCTACAATAGCATAAATATTAATTATTTGCTCTCTGTGTATTATCTACAAAATTTGATAGGTGACTTACAGAAATACATTCACATATTCTGTGATTAACCAAAAGCCGCATTATAAGAATGGCAGTGACTGAATTGGAAAAAATTCATGTCATTAACAGCAATTTATGTTATTTTTTTTTAATCTTTCGTAAAAACTATTTATTTACATAACGATTTAAATTCAGTTTTAATATAATTTATTTAAAATCTGAAGGCTCTAAAATTAAATAAACAGAAACAAGCGGGGCATTCGTCAAGTTCTTAATACATTTACCTAGTACAGAAAATATCAGAGAATGTCTGAAGCGTCTGCATAGTGTAAGTTTAACAACTTCTTTTCTATTTTGCAAAATCCACATAGTTCGTCTCAGGTAGTTAAAAATGTGAATTTTGTTAAGGTCATTTTAATACTATCTTTTTTTTTTAAAAAAGCAACATTAACAGTATGATTAATACCTTATATTTTACAATACTTTTATTCTGTTAAATTTAGCTATATCTCCTTCATTATAATCATAATATTGAAACAATACATCTGTAAACTATTTACATCGTAGAATTTAAAAGTAAAGTGACTGAACAAAGGAAGATGCAATAATTCATGCGATTTTTTTAAAAATAATAAATTGAATGAAGGTAAGAAATGGGAATGGATATTAAGAAAATATTTTATATCTGGACTAATAAAATCTTTAACATAATCAAAAGATATCCAGTGAATACTGATGCCATCAATAACTAGTAAGGGAATGGTTGGTATAAATTTAAATTTACATTCCAGCGTTTCATCCTAAAAGAAAAACAAAATAATTTAGTTTGCAAAAAAAAAATGTAAGCGCGTTACTAGATAAATTGGACATGTTATTATGGTCACACAAAAAAACTACTTTAAAAAGGAAAATGTGCAAATAAACATACCAGGTTTGCTTGTATGCATACTTGACATAAGGCTAGAATAAAAAACACAGCACCCACAATCAACACTTTATAAAATGTTTGACCGAGACTTGGCCTGAAAAAATTAACCAGACAAAACTAGTAAAATGTTGCTTAGCAACTATAAGAAATTGTAAAAAAAAGTCTAAGTTATAGCTGGTTTAAAAATTAAAAGATAGGGCATTTTGCTATGGTTCTTACTATATGAAACCATTTTTTTAAAAATCTTCTGAGAGTATAAGGAGTAGGGTTTTTTCATTATTTAGTGACTAATTAACCACTTGCAGTGATTTTTTTTTAAATATTTAAATTTATTTTTCAATGAAACAAGTCTAACAGCTTTCATGTTTACACATTTATTTTTCTACAAAGAATTGTACTCACTGTTAATTCACATAAGATTTAAGTTCACATTTTTTAAGAAAACTTACTTGACAATGCCATACCCAAGACTGACCATCAGCACTAGCATTCTGGCTAGTGACCGCTTTAAACATGAAAAAATTTCAGCAAAATAGATCGCTCCCCACAACGATTGACCAGTGTTGTTGATGTTCTCGTACACACAAAGGAAAATCGTATTTTCCAGAATACCTAGACCACAGAAATTTTTTTTTTTTTTTAAGTTTTATTTTTAAATGTACAAACATGTAAGGTAAAAAAAAGTACCTAAAAGGATGATGCCACCGATCCATAAATGTATCCTATGCACATTTCGCCAGCTACAAGCTAGTAAAATAATCCATGTCATGCCAAATCCAATATATACAAAAACCATCATGCAAAAGAACTGAAAATTAAAAAAAAAAGATTTAGAATTAACTTTAAAAATTACAGAAAATTAATAAGACCCAAAATAATTTTTTAAATGTTAATATACAACAATTATTAGGCTCCGCATTAAAAAAAACACACCATGTACCAAGAATCAATTAACAATAAATACAAGCATCGTCACGCAAAAGAACTGAAAATTGAAAACTAAATAGATCTATAATTCAGTTTTAAAATCCCAATTTTTTCATAAGACTTAAAATCATTATAAAAATGCTAATATGCACAATTGTTAGGCGCAGCATTAAAAAAATAAATTAAACCGCATAGCGATAATTAGTTAACAATAGAGAAAGCAACTTACAAATAAAAGTGGAAAATCCAAACTTGGGAGGTAACCGCTATTGTTACCATTCTTAGTTATTCTCAGATTTCCTGTCATTAAAGAAATTAAAAAGAAGACATAAAAGTAAAAGTAATAGATAAAGTTACTTTTATTTTTTAATTTTTTTTTTGCATTCTTATCCAAGAGATGTATTTTATTACAAACTAAAAAATATAACCTATTTAAAATCAGTTTATACACAGACAATATATTGCGGTTTGGGTTTTAATATTGTTATTTATAATTACTGCAATATCTATCCGCACCACAATATATAATATATTTTTTTTACAACAGCTCTTGCTGATTCTAACCTTTAAGAGCGAAATCAAGAGAAGGATAAGGGCTAACAAGTTCAAAGTCAAAAAAATAATAACCATCAGCCCATGTCTGAAGCAAATGTCGCGCCTCAAGATCGTTCTGTACATACAAAGAAAATATTCTTTGAATCAAAGAAACATAACTAACTAATGCAATAATTAAAATATTAAAATATTCTCAAAAATAAAATGTTTATTTTCTTTTAATTTCAGCAACATTAAAAAGAAATGCAATATGGTCCATATTGGGTCAAAGTAAATAATTATCAAACCTTATTGTGGAAGGACACTATTTGGGTAGAATTAAATTCTTCTGCAACTGTTTTTTCTTGTTGTTCTGAGGTCCTCTTTGTAAAAAAATCATTGAAATAGACCTATGAAATTAAATACTATGTTAGGAAAACGAGAAACCTTAAAATATCAACTGCTTCTGTATCTTATAATACGTTTCTAACCTTAGTATTTTGTATAGTTTCTTGTTACTGTTTTTTTTATTATGTAGCTTTTTGGTTAAATCAGTATCAAAATCACGGATAATTTTTGAAAGGATCACAGGGTCAGGATTGGGATTGGTGTATGTCAGAGAATGTGTTTGGGCTAAAATTATATTGAAGGCACCCAAAATAGCAAAAAGCGAATATATCTTGCCACCATTTAAATAACCCTTTTATATTTTATAGGTATATTTTTAGAGCTTAGAATAATAATAGCATGATTTGGTATTGTTACAAATATTAAGGTATACTTTATAAGCAATATATTTCTAATTATAAAAATTAAATATATCCAAATGTAAATATTTAACATTGAATATAATAAATTGACTATTCTTAATAGAATAATATGTTCTTGGTATCTAATTTTACATTTTACTTACATTTGCTTTAGTAATGTCGGTAGTATAGACAACCTGAAATATAAATTCTTATATCAAATTTCAGAAGCCTTGTCATAACAATATGTGGGGTGTAGTACAAAAGGCCGACATTCAAAAAGCTGACAAGATAAAAGACCGACACGGACAAAAGGCCGACATGGATAAAAGGCCGACTGGACATAAGGCCGACATACCATAAGACCGACAAACCATAAGGCTGACAAGCATAAAACTATTATCGCAAAATATGTGTTACTGCATAATTTCTATCTAGACAACCATCGAAATAAGGCAGGAAATAAGGGGTAATTTTCAAGAGAAGAGGTGATGCTAGTAGCTACTCTTATAAGGTGAACCATCGGGTCAGGCGACTGGAGATTATGGGAGTGTCTTAAACACAAAAGGATCAACAAATAAATATTGCGAAATGCGGTCACTACTGTCTTTTATAGCTCCTTCTATGTCAACGAGGTGAGACAACCATCAAAGAATGAAGTCGAAAGCCGCCAGCATCATAGCCCACATGCAACAAGGTGGAACGCCATGAGACAATGCTCGTTGCTATCTTTATAAGGTGAACAATTGGGTCCATGCGATTGGAGATGACGGGAGAGTACAAAAGATAAACAGATAGGTGGGGTTACCACCATATTTCGCAAAAAAAAAAAAAGAAACCGAATGAAGTAGACCGATTCCAAGGATCCAAATCACAGTTGAGGGGTGGCACAGGGGGTGGCAGGTAATCGTCGGAAAAGATCACACCGGTGTCTTTTCTTTGCTCAAAAAACTAAAACAAGAACAAGGAAGAGTGGAAGTAGAGATGGGGGCAATATTGCTCGCTGGTCTATAAAAAACGAAAAAAAAAACACACCAATATTTACAGAAAGGACAAGATAGCAAATGTTATTGCAGGATGTGAAAACAGAAGTAGACTTGAATTTCTACATAGCTTAGCATACAATTTATCATACTAGGCCCTATTCTTTTAGTGTTTTACTTTAACTTTATCATTTTGTAACTGGTTTTTAATATAAAAAAATAAACATGTCTGTGATTGTAGTTTGTTGTTTTTTAAAACTTGTCGGCCTTTTGTCTTGTCGGCCTTTTGGATGTCGGCATTTTAGCAGTCGGCCTTATTTCCTGTCGGCCTTTTGTCTTGTTGGCCTTTTGTCCATGTCGGCCTTTTGTCCTGATCCCCATTTTATGGGACGGCGTGGTCGAATTGTAGAGCTTTTGGCCACTAGTTCAAAGAATCTGAGTTCGGATCTCGGTTCGGTATTGTGACTGTGGAACATCCCTGAGTCCGCCCAGCTCTGATTGGTTCCTGGCTTACGTTGCTGAAAGTAAAAGGCGGCTGGGCATAGTGCTGACCTCACCATTCCATCATATGTCGAGGTTAAGAAACCTATGAACTCTACTTCACCTGCCCAAGTGATCGCTAGAGGAACTTTACTTTTGCCATGCTATTTTGTTGTCTCATTATATATGGCTTGCTAGTCTTTTAAAAAATAACAAAAAAATCAACTGCTTACATTTTGAATCTTTATTTTCTGTTTATTACAATAGTATGTGGCTGAAACAGTCACATATTCTCTCATCTGCAATAAAAGTATATGAACTAAAAACATATTCTTCGTTTAATTTTTTAAGAAACACTGTAAGTGTGTTTTTTCATTTTCCAAATAAAAGCCAACACAGAATTTCCTTTTCAATAAGATTTTTTAAAAGAATATCAAAATTAATTTAAGCCTACTTACAAGACAATATGAATAGATCTAGTAATGAAAGTGAAACTTACCAAATAACTAGCTAGATATATATCTGAACACGAAGAATGCCAAAATAACCACCTCACATTAAATGTTGTGTTCAAAACGTCATTGCAAAATACTGAAATAAAAAAAATGTGATTTTGTGGGATTTCCTACGGGGGAGGGGGGGGGGGGTTAAGAAAATGTGACGCTGCAAAATGTGGTATTGCTTTTAATTGAGTGACAATGTATGGGAAGGCGTGGCATATAGATAGAGCACTAGATTATTATCTGAAAGTCTCAAGTTTAAATCCGGGTTCAAGTCAGTGGAACGCCCACCCGGCTGATTGGTACCTAACACTATGCCAAACTCACAGAAACAGATGAACTGTACTTGACTTGCCCCATGGACCGTCACGTTCGAACAGGGAACTTTTACCATCAGTATCGTATACAAAACAACTAGGTAATTCAGATTTTAATGACGATCGGCGTTAAAAAATGCTGGCATATAAATCATGGCGTACTAGGGCAAGAAAAACACGTTTTTACTTGTTAGTGCCAACTGACTTCCTTTGTTTATAGGCCTGCTTCTTTGTGCACGAAAAAGATGATTTTCCTGTGGGAAAAATGTAGTTTGTTCAAAATTTGAGTGAATTGAAAATAGAACTGATTAAATTGGAATTAGCTCCTATAAAAAAAAATTATATATTTTTTTTCTATATTTTTTTCTATGTGTCACACCCCCCCCCCCCCAAAAAAAAAGAGATGCCTGATACAAGAGGTAGAAGATTATGGAAATATTAGCCCTTGGCCTACATACCGATGATTTCTGTTATAATAATTATAGATGTATGGAATAATATAATAATTTCTTAAAGGCCAAACTTTTTTTATTAAATTAACTTCCCTGTGACTACACAATAACAGGCATGGCCTATTTAAATATAGGCCTAAATGGTTGTTATTATTAGCTCTGTTTATTTTTAGTTTAAGAGAACATGTTTACCGGATAGCTGAGGCACTGCAAAGGTTTTCGTTATAGTATGCAAAATTCCTATCAGCTAGGACTAGGTTTAGGATAGCGCTAGTGAAAAATATGATTTTTGAGTACAATATATAGTCTACTAAACACCATATAAGCTGTTTTTGTTTTTTTAAAGAAATTTTCTTTATAATGGCATTGTGAAAGGCTGGACTTGTTTACAGAACACCCCCGTGTTTAATTATAGATTCTTCCAAAAACTAACAAGTTAATGTACAAAATGTGTTGCTTAACTTTAACATGGCATTAAAAGGGGGAGGGCAGTTAGGCCTATTCTATAGAATGGACTCTTCTAGAACAATAGGCTATTCGATTGCTAATAAAGCATTGACTCATATTCTTAACTAATACTGACATTAACCCTAATCACAACCCTAGGTTTATCCGATTAATTGACTTTTTGTTACTATTAAGAACAGTGCAGTCCTATTTGCTACAGTGCACCTTAGTTCGGATACTGTCGAGCAGAACAATAATAATGCCAGAAATAGCCTACCGTACTAATGTTAAAATTCCAAACTGCCTCTTTAGGAGACGCGTAGTTCGTGCCAAAAAAACAACAGAACGAAAAACATAGTTGTTGACAACATCGTCTCCATTTTCACCTGCACTTAAGTAATTCAATAGAGGAGAGATTCAATGTTGACTAAAACATCTACTAAGATATCCGTTGGTGAAAAAAGCTAAACGTGTTAAAAAGAAAACACCCATGCTTTTATACACGTATTTAGTGGGGGGGGGGGGGAGTATCGAGCCCCTTTCCTCACCCCCGCCCCATCCCTTTCTACTTGGGGGTAGTGGTGTAGAAGACGGAAGCCAATCTCAACTTTAGTTGGGCTGTCTCTTACGACAGGTAAACAACTGCATGACGCCGATTGTAATGTAATGCTTGGTTCAAGGCTTAAATTACCTTCACCTGCACACCTGGTTACCCGTGGAGCTTTTCCTTTGTTCCGCATTTTGAAAAGGGGTCGTCAAAATTTTATCTTACAGTAGGCCTATATTTGAAAATGGTGGGCTATTTCTCTTAAAGTAGGAGTCGAAATTACTCCTTGTGTTTAGAAGTGCTGTATGGCATTAGGGGGAAAAAAGGTCACAGAAAAAAGTTACATGAAGTATAGCCACATATAATAACAGGAACCACGGTAACAATGAAAACAAAAATCAGAAGAAATATAGTAGAAAAAAAAGAGTCACATCAAAAGTCCCACAATTTTTAGTTAATGTAAATGTTAGTTTATTAGGTAACAAATACAAATTTGAGACAATGAAATAAATACATTTTTATGTATTCTGATGCAAGCAGAGAGAGTGAAAGAGAGCATATCATATTAATATTTATATTAACGATATTTACAAACATATATATATATATATATATATATATATATATATATATATATATATATATATATATATATATATATATATATATATATATATATATATATATATATTGATATTCACAATACATTATATCGACATACATTTTAAGAAATCTATTATTTAAATTTACATCTCTCTATTCTTTCGCATCACTGTATAGTACTTGTAGTACTGCAGTCTTATTTTAAAATTCGACCAAAAAATAGTTCCTCTCTAGTTTACAACAGTACTATGTCAATCAATGAATCAATGGGTCACTCCACGTCTACAGCGAAAGAAGCTTTAATTATTTTGACCTCAGAAAGGGACTTAACCAATGTAACACATATGGTTACCAGCCAGGAGGGGTAAAGGAATAAAGTTGTAATTCATTGGGTTGCGGCCCCTGTGGGACCGCATCTGTTGATGTAGTTTTTTTGCATGCTCTTCGGTGAGCGATTTTTACCTGTGTCCCATGCCATGTGACATGGGATTATGGGTAGTTCGTGCCTATCCGTGTCAGAGACCCAAGGCAGCTGTCTGTGGACACGGACGGTGACGGTACCTAGAGGTAGATATGGACAAAGTGGACCTAATGAAGGGCTACAATTAATCGTCGTCGTTATCGTCGTCTTCTTTGGTTTTTGTTTTGCTGTGATCTACTGTTTTCTACACTGTTTTCTACTGTCGTTCTACATCGCCGTTTATGGCTCGATGTAATGTCAATAAAGCCAGTAGTGGACAACAGCTTCGTTTCAGTGTGTCCTAAATCTCAGGGTCAGCCTTTTTAACTACAAGACCTCAGTAAGTAAAAAGCATCCCCACTGAGTGTTACACCAATAAATATTTATCTATTAGCAATGTAGGTTGGTTGGGGGGGGGGGGAGACATCACGTATTGCCATTCAATGGGCATATAGCTATTTACGTTGATAAATCTTTAATATAATTTACCAAAATTGTCTAAAAAGTACTCACTGGTGCGCTTAAACATCAGTTTAAAAAAAATTAAAATTACCTAATAAATTTTGCTATAGTGAGACGGTGTTTTTTTAACATCCACCAACAGGGTTTCTTTCAGGTATTTTTCTCCAGGAGAAGGGGGGACTTAAAACATACGGGGTAGGCCTATATATTTATTATATAATTTTTTTTTCTATTTCGTCCTGGTAACGGTAGACGTGTTCAAGGGGGAAGGAGGGGTGCACTTCCCTCTTACAGAGAAATGCCCAAAAGAAACACATTCTCATCACCAACAAAACGTGTTCATTTTATCATCTAAATGTGCTCACTCGAAACCGGGTGCATCTTTATTCAATACCCTGTATATATTCTATATTCGTGGGAGATGATTGCTAACATGCATTATAATTTTCAATAGGCTACGTTTTGAAATCTATGTTTGTTCCAGGCAAGTAATTTCGCTGCATTAGTAAAATAATTGAAAATATTGTAAAACGTTTCATTATAAATGAAATCACACCCCTTCCCCCAATAGGGCTGGTAAGTAGGTCACCAACCAGTTCTACGGCTCAATAAAACCTGCATGAGCCATAGAACTGGTTGGTGACCTACTTACCAGCCCTATAGAGTCCTTGCAAACACGTGACCTAAATCACGTGATACCTACGCCCGCCGCCACAGTGGTGTACATCAGACGTAAACACAATCAGCTGTTCGCCAGCGCTGGACGTGTTCACCAGCGCTGGACGTGTTCACCGTATGTAAAGAATCGCGCCCGCGGAAAAGGAAAAATATGTTAAAAAACTTGAACTCTTAGGAATTGAAGATCCTTATACAGTTATTGACAGTTTCGTGGATAATATAAATATGTGGCCGAAATTTCTAAATAAAAATACTGTTAGTAATACCGTTTGCGTTTAGAGTTTAAGTAGACGAAGCTGATCAAATGCAGTAATATATTAGAGGTTATCTACTGTAGCAAACGTGAGACCACTTAACTCCTACAAAACCCACACTACAACGGCTAATATAATCCATGGGTAATAACCAATCTGGGTAGCATGTTATACAATTTAAGACCCTTATAATCCAGCAGGGAAGTAATCAGACACATTAATACTGACGTTCAACCCTCATGATGGCTGCCCCCACCTGTATCTAGCCCACAATAAAACCAAAGAGGAGTCTGCCCTGCCCTCCCCTGAAAATGTCTCACCTCCGTGATACCCAGCCCCACAGAGATAGTATTTCTTATATAATTTTGACCCTCAGGGCCCAGCAGGGAGAACAAAGGGGAAAGTCCCACTGCTCTCCCCTCAACACTTCTCACCTCGATGTCATGTTATGTCATTTATAGCACACACGGCTTATCAGGGGAAAGCATTAAGGCATTAAGAATCTTAACTCTGGACAGCTACACACTAGTATACTAGCTACACACTAGGTGCCTACTGTAAACTACTAGACTGTAGGCCCTATGTAGACCTGCAATTGTATCAATTGTAGACTGGGTCCATTGTTATTATTCTAAACCATCTCACTTATAATGTTTCTAGCTTGATTTGTTTCTTTTATAAACAGTGGATTTAAAGAAAAATTTAGCCTAATCATTAACCAAATAATAATAATGTGGTTATTTGTTGTTGGCTGGTATGATCTAGATTGTACTACTAGGCTACAAAAACTTAGTAGACCAATTACTAGATATGAATTTGAATTTAATTAAACTCAGTCCAGTATCAGATACATATTGCTGTAAAAAGACAACAAAGTAGGTAGGCCTTAGTAATTTATTAAAGTCTTCTACTACAATAATATCAACTACATGCTTGTATAAAGTTTTTACAATTTAATTTAAGTAGCAGATTCTAGATCTAAGTCTAGTCATATAATCTATTTCAATTTCAGAAAATTTCGTTTGCTAAAAAAATGATTAGATAATAGAGCGAGATTTTAGATCTTAGAGACAATTAAATGCTTTATTAGGCCTATTATGACTACTTTTGATTTATTATGGGTGTATTTTGAATCGAATGTAGATCTAAAGTAATTAAATTTAAGTAAAGAAGTAGATTCTAGATTCTATGTCTACCCAGCGGAGCCAGGTATTAGGCCTACTATTAGATCTTATTATTCTTATTAGCCTATTACTTTTGACTTTGTCTTTTACTATTAGTATTTGTGAAGGTCGAGCATATTTGTTTTATTAATAGTTATCTTTTATAATTAAAATGAAGTTTATTATTTTACTGTCCTTACATGAAACAAAGTATCGAGAACTGCATTTGATCAGATTCGGCTACTTTAACTCTAAACGCAAACAGTATTACTAACAGTATTTTTATTTAGAAATTTTGTCCACATATTTATTTATACGAAACTGTCAATAACAGTATTAGGATCTTCAATTCCTAAGAGTTCAAGTTTTTTAACGTATTTTTCCTTTTCCGCGGGTGCGGTTCTTTACATACAGTGAACGCGTCCAGCGCTGGTGAACACGTCCAGCGCTGGCGAACAGCTGATTGTGTTTACGTCTTGTGTACACCACTGTGGCGGCGGGCGTAGGTATCACGAACGGACGTGACGTCATATGAAAGGACTCTATTGTCACAAAAGTCAGACGTCCTTCTCTCCCCTTCCATATGACGTCACACTTCAACCTAACACTGCAGGGTGGGAGAGCATGTGATTGCTAACTTTAAAAATCCGGAGTTCGAATCACCGAAAGAAAAGCCAAGCTGAAGTCGGAGCCAAGAGGCCCACCGCATAAAATGTTGACTGGTAATATTTAATTGTGCTTGAGGATACTCCCTCCAATATCTAAATTATGAATGAAGAAGAAACCTAATACCCCCTCTTGTTTTTAAACAACAATTTCTCTCTAAAAATATTTGCTGAGCAGGGTCAAGATTAAGTATAGGGATCAATTTTTTAATTATTAACAAGGTCTCATAAATGCAAAGTAAATGCTAAAAATCAGATACGTCACACTTCATTTATAAAGTTATACAGTTAGGTTAACAGCTTGTAATCATCATCATCACTCCTTTATGGCCCCTGGGGAGCAAAGGGCTGCAACCACACATCTCCAGCGGACTCGGTTTTGGGCTGCTCCTCTAGTCTGTGCCCATGAGAGCCCAACTGTTCTCTTCCATGTTTTCTTTGGCCGGCCCACCCTCCTTTTCCCCTGGTGATTCCGTCCAATGCATGTTTTGCAATGTTTTCTTTTTCTTTTCTTAACGTGAACAGCTTGTAATAGGCCTACCTTTTTGATCATTCAATGTAGTATACAGTTTGTATGCCAATTTTTATCAAATTTAGGGTCAAAGTAGTTAAGTGTCAATGTGCATAAAATTTAATGTATGAGTAAAAAAATTAAACCATTTAACAGAACAAAGAATGAGAGGAGTGAACATTTGATGAGAAAGTTTATTTTATAACTCATTTCTATCATTTTAATATCACTGACAAAGTAAGATGTACAAGTGCATAACAATAGAGAAATATGTCTACAAAGTTTAACAAAAGTAAACCTGATAACTTTATATACAACTTTAGTACAACAAAGAAATGAATTACTCCTAAAAATTAAAATGTACTTCACATGCTACTAGAATTATAACATTCATACAACTGGTTATACTAAACTATATAATTGTGTGAGAAAAAATGATATTTTAAATCAAAATACCAATCAACAATAACATTTAAATTAAGATTTTTATTCATTTGTAAATTAATGTATGATAAACAATGTCAGGGTGAAATTGAAAAACTGATTAATGCTCAACTTAGGAAGGGAGATGCTATATTTGAAAGACTTGATCAATGGTGTGTATAGGTTCATTGTAATCAATAATATACAGTCATAAGAGTACAAAAAAATATTTATTCAATTTTTATTTTTTTTATTTATTTTTTTACATTTCTTTAAGATAATAAGCAACCCTAGCAACCCATAAATTGAAGCAGTGATATTTTCCTGTATAGTCCATTAATGTAAGAAACAACACATGTTAGTCCTAGTGTACTTACAATTATCCCTTTCTGGTAAACAAATGAAAGATTCAATATATTTGGTAGCCATGCAATCCAGTAACTAAATTAAGTATCACAGGAAAAAAAACTTGGCTAGACATGTTTCATGGCTAACAAATCTGTAACAAATTTGCAACAAAGATAACTCAATAAGAGTTATGATATTTGATAAAGGTGAAGAAATCAAAATATAATTTCCAGCTTGCTTTAAGTTGTAAAGCCATTTGTTGTTAATTCTGGTTATATCAGTTTTTAAGAATTAAAGTAAGGAAATAAATAAAACACTAAACTATTAGAAGTATATTTTTGTATATCAGGTTTGAACTTAATAATAAATTTATATACTGGTATGTGTTACTTTACACATGTTCATTCAGAATTAATTACATTTTTAAATTTACACATTAAAAAAAACCAACTAAAGCTAATGTTGAGAAATCACTTACTTCCCTTTGCTAAATACAGCCAGTTAAAGATATTGTGTTGAGAGAAGCAAAAATAGAAATAAAAACCTTTATAATAAAAAGCTTTCATCTCCCCTTTTGTCAATAATAAAGTATTGTTAAGATTAACTTATTATGACTTTTATAATTTCTAATTAGTCTAAAATTTAGATATCCATGCTTTGTCTTTTTGAAAGGTATTAATCTGGAATGTTTGATGAATGAAAACCCTGGATTAGAGGTGAATTTAAATTCAGTTACAAGATTTTACCTCAAGCCCACAGACAGACAGACAGACAGACAGATATTCTGACTCTGGTAAAAGTTTAAAAAAAAACGACTTCACTTTGTCAGGCTTTGACAGGCTTAAGTTTTTTTCTATAAAATCACAGTAGGAATATACAAAGAAATCATGATATATATATATATGTACAGGTTGACCATGGGAGCTTACATGGGTTACATTGGTTCAACTTTGTAATAGCATTGCACTACTTTAACTGGATGAGAAAATTATAACAAACACCTTAAACAAGCCACTATTATAAAAAATAATATTTACCATTAAAAAAAGCATAACTATGTTAAAACAAATTATCTTAACAATAACATAGGATCTCTAAAAACACTGTCTAACAACATTTATCACCCTGAAAATGACTCGGATCAAGAGAATTTAAAATAACTCGATATACAGTAAATATTATTAAGATATGATTATTTAAAGCCCCAAACATTAAATACATTAGTAAACAATCTAAAAACTTACAAGAAAATCTAAATTGAAAACAGGTGACTTTTTTTTTAAATCTATGAAATTAAATACATAACTATCTCGCATAAAAAACATTAATTGTGTTAGTCATATATTAGTAATTACAGTAATGATCAGTGTATTTAACAGTTCCAAACTTTTAAAACACTGGAATTTTCATACTACTTAAAACATTCCAACTTGAGGAATGAATAATTAATAAAATAATATTAATAACATTTTTTACCAACTTTACAGAGGATTAAAAGCACCTAAAATAGCAGAAATACAATTACCCTCTCATTATCCTAGAAATAAAGTTCAGGTTAATGAGACAGCAATAATTAGCATACACTAGTTATTAGCAGGAAATATTTGGTTATTGCAGTAGCTGGTTTTGTATTGAGTATTGTCATTACTTTAGGGCAATACCCACTTGAAATGAAGGTGTTTTAAATCACTGAGGCCTAAACCCACTTGAAATGGTCTGTTAAATCCTTGAGGCCTTTACCCACTTGAAATAGTCTGTTAAATCATGGAGGCCTTTACCCACTTGAAATGGTCTGTTAAATCCTTGAGGCCTTTACCCACTTGAAATGGTCTGTTAAATCATGGAGGCCTTTACCCACTTGAAATGGTCTGTTAAATCCTTGAGGCCTATACCCACTTGAAATAGTCTGTTAAATCAAATTTACAAACAAAAATGATAACGCAGATCCTCCAGCTAGTCCAATTGTCATGGCTAAAGCCAGGACAATCCCTGTACCTTCAAGGTGCTCATCTTCTGCATTTCTAAACAAAAAAGTTTAATTTTAATACATCAACATGGCTTTTTAAAAAAAATAGAGGTTAACAATGAAATAAACATGAAAAATTGTATTGCTATAAATTATTTGGTAGATTTGGATTATTCAGTGAAATACAAAATTACATTAAGATGGCGTTATTAAAAATAGTAAAATAAATCTGAATAATGTTATGGCAATAGAATATTTAGTTAGTGTCAACTGATAAATAAGGTTTTGATTACCCACATGTGAACAGAAAGAAACAGCAGTATTTAAAACTATTTCACAACAATAGGATAAATTAAGCACACTGGAACTTGTTAGTGCCAAGATCTAAACCTGTACATACAAACTGAAACACCACACAAAAACTACACAGGGTTACTCACAGTGGTCCAAAGGTCATGCACAGAGTTCCAAAATAACCATTGGTCAAGCCAAGCAGGCTAATCAACACCATGGGGTATGCGTCGTTTTTTAAATAAACAGGTAAATGTTCCCTGGGCTGGACGTTACACAGCATGAGCAGTGGGATGAAACCAATGCGCAGAACTGTGAAGAAGAGAAGCAAACCTGGGCGCTGGCTCCCTGGCTGAAAAACAAAAGATTTTACCGTAAAACACCAGTAGGCTGGATTTGTTTTATTAATATAGCAACCTGAATCTTAATGCTAAATATAACCCAGTCCCTGACCCTTATTCTGTCTTAACAATGGCCCCTAAAGAGAAAAAGAAAAATAATTTCACTAAATACTTTACTTTCCAGCCTGAATTTTTTATGAACTACTAAAGTAAGAATCAAATAGTTAAAATTTTGAAAACCCAAAGGTTAGGAAATCAAATTATAGATCAGGCAGGCTCAAAATCACTTGCGAATTCTATTAAAACTGCAGATACCTGTATTGATACCTGTCTAAAAGCTTAAGGTACTCTGATACAAACAGCTTCAGGTGTACTGACACTTGTAAATAAAAATCCTCACTATCAACTTAGAGAAGAGTTTAAAAGTTAAGTACTTACAAATTTACAAATAAATGTAAAAAGGCGCCCTAAGAAATCCCACACATTAAACAGCAGAAAACAACCAACTGGTGTAAAATATGTATCTGAAACAAACAAAATACTTCACAATTAATAACAAGATTTTGTTAAATTAACAGTAGATATCTTAATTACTTACATTTAATTTTAAAATAAATATGCGTCATTGCAAAGACTGATAGATTAAACTACATTTGGAAGAGATTGATAAAATTTCTTTTTAATTTCTCTAAACAAGAACGCCATGGCAGGGTGGTACAACACTCGGCTACTGGCCCAAAGGTCTTGAGTTTGGATCAGACAGACTCATGAATGCAAGGCATGCCTGAGTCCACCCAGCTCTGATGGGTACCTGACTCACAATAGGCAAAGTAGAGGCAGCTGGGCAAAGTGCTGACGACCTTATCCCTTTATATGCCAAGATCAAGATAAATGTGAACAATTTTTAAATGAACAAAAAAAATAGGAACAAAATAGAAATAATGTACAAATATAAAAATAAGAATAGGAATAATATAGAAATTATGTCCACTGAGCAGGACTAATGGTTATAAAAGCTGCTCTCTCACCTGTCCAGGAATTTTTTTCTGTGCCTTCTGATTTGATTAATGAGCAGACAGCAGGAAAGACAGATAAAGTCACTAAAAACACTAAACAAACACTCAAGCAGTACATCCAGGTCTGAAAGGAATAATAGTTGAAACACAACACTAAAAATGACTAGGTTAACTAACGCTTTCTGTGAATGGATTGAGATTAATAGGTTATTGGGTTTTACAGGGTTAATGCCAATACATATGTCATGATGAAAAACTTGCTCTGTTTATATGCTGGTTCAACCAAGATATCATGTATCTTAAAACATTGTGATATACATTCTTGATTGAAGTATAGTATACATTGTTTTGATTGCAATATATTCATTTGATTGTGACATAGCATACTTTCATTAGTTAGATGTAGATGTACTTTTATCCAATTGTGGTATTTATTTGATTTAAAAAAAAGTAATTTGAATGTGGAATACTATCATTTAATTGTGATATATATATATATATATATATATATATATATATATATATATATATATATATATATATATATATATATATATATATATATATATATATATATATATATATATATATATAATAAACACATATATATGTACACACAAATATGTTTAAAAATGTGTTAAATCATTTATTTCTTATTGTTGTATACTTTGAATTAATAGATATAGATCAATTGAAATTTAACATTACAAAAAGGGTAAGGAACTCACCTTTTTCAATATAACGTGAAAAAACCTTTTTACATTAATTGTGTCATGGCTGACTAATTCTTCGTTTATTTTATTTACATCACTTACTGCAAGAGAAAATTTAATTAGGTTAAATTGTTTTTAAACAGAAATTCATGTTTAATTAACTTTAAAAAATGAAAATTTTAATGAGTAAAAAATGAACTTACTAAGAGAAACCATATAGTACCTTGAAAATTCCTTGAAAAATATAGATGAAAGAACAATTTTTATTTTGAACAATTAAAAGCAGATAATAATATTACATAATATTATTCATGCAATAATTGTAACATATGCTTGAGAGTCTCCAAGGCAAGCACAGCAAAGATACAGACCTTCATGAATAGATGCCTTAGACAGATACTGAAACTGAGATGGCAGGACAAAGTGCCGAACTTGGAACTATGGAGGAAAGCTAGGCAGGAGCCTATAGGTGGGCAAATAAGAAGGAGGAAGTGGTGCTGGGTGGGTCACACACTGCGAAAGGCTCACACAAATGTTACACGCCAAGCGCTTGAGTGGAACCCCCAGGGAAAACGGAAGAGAGGGCGCCCAAGACAGACCTGGAGGCGGAGTCTTCTTGAAGAACTGAAGCCAATAGGGATGTCTTGGGAGATGTCAAAATTAATAGCCGAGGATAGGAAGAAATGGAAGGAAATGGTGGAGGCCCTATGCTCCATAAGGAGCAAAGAGGACTAATGAATGATGAATGAATGCTTGATGATACATTTTCTAATTATATCTCATTAAAAAAGTTAAGTAAAAATACTTGAATTTGTAAGATCAAATCAAGGTTGTTAAGCCAGCAAGATAAATCTTAAAGGTGAATCTGTCTGCCTTTTTCGCACTGCAAACTTTAAAGGTGTTTTATGCTTTTGGAACCGCTTTTGATATTTTTTGTTTAAATATATACAGATATGCAATGGTGGTTTTTTTAACAGAATTATGCCCCTTTGATGAGGGCACCACAGATTGCAAAATACATAGAGAAAAAGTCAGTAAATCTGGTAACTTTTATGAAAGTAATGATAGTTGTTCATAGGTACATAGACAAATGCGTAAAAGTGGATGTTGAACTCATTTCAATAGGCCTACTTTTCTAACATTAGGTTAGCTGTCAAAAGAATGCAAGACAAAAACCACTGTATTGTGACTTACCATAAAATGTAAGCCTAAAAATGCCACCAAAGACAGTATGGTGACCACACATTGTATTGTGACTTACCATAAAATGTAAGCCTAAAAATGCCACCAAAGACAGTATGGTGACCACAGTGGCAATAAGAAAGTAAATGAGACCACTGGTGATGGGATCACCACCTGTAGCATGAGTTAGTATACTGCACAGTGCAGAGAAGGTGCCACCGGCAGCCTGAGGAAAACAAATTTTGTTTCAGTAAATAATGCTTTACAGTAGCAGTTAATATTGTTTCAATAATTATAGTTTTACAATAGTACAGATTTAATTAAACATATTTTTGGCCGAATAATAAATTCAATGTTTTAAATAAGCAGTTTTAGAGTGATAAATTTCATTGCTTCCATAGTTTTACAATAACTAATAATTCTTTCTATATTTGTTTTGATACATACAGAATTTTACATTAGCATTGATTAAATTAGAGATTTCTTTGTTTCAATAAATAATTTTACAATAACACTGATCCAATAAGATTTTGATTGTTTCATAGAGTAGTTCTAATCAGTAATATAACTGATGTATTCAATTTTTCCTGTTCTTGCCCAAGACACATGGGGCAGATGAAATAGAGTTCATCTGTTTCAGGGACCTCTGCATATGAAGGGATAGTGTGGTCAGCACTATGCCCAGACGCCTTTGTTTTCCCTAACAAGAATTAGGTACATATCAGAGCTGGGTGGACTCAGGGACGGTCTACTGACTTGAACCCGGATTCAAACTTGAGACTTTCGATTTGACAATCTAGCTCTAGTTGAGTGTTCTAGAAAGTCAAGGTGACCAAATACAAAATGGCGAGACAAAGAGATTTAGTGCAAGAGATAGCTCTTTTTTTAGAAGGTAAAAAAGCTATACTCTGTGCAACCTGGTTCAAACAAAAAATAAATGAAATCATTTCTACCTGGCCAATCATGGTAGACTGTGAGTATATAGGAGGAAAAACTGCAGACAGCCCTAACACAGACCCAGTTAAAACAGACTGGCACCCTGCAAAAAATCAAACAACTCAGTTCAACATTTTTGTTAGCAAACTAACAAGTTTTATTGTTGCTGTCCATTAATTTTCATAATACATGTTATAATTCCAAGAAAGCCCAATTGAAAGTTATACTTTTATACTTGATATATAGTAATGTTCACTTACCACTCATAAATGTTGCCATTACTAGTGTAAATATGAAAAATCCATTCTGCCCTGAAGTTTAAAACAATTTGATTTTATAAGCCAAAATATTTTTTCAACATGAAAATTTATTTTTACAAAAATTATATATGCAATCAACATCATCAGGTTAAAATATTAAGATGACTTCTGTTAACAGCACCCTATACTTACAAGTGTCTGTGTTGACCTCAGTGAGTGAACATGTGACCACAAATATCACGACTATCAACAGTGTTGAACTAACCACACGCACCTTCACAGATATTCTAAAAAGGTTTTTGATACATTTTTTTATTAATGATTTTTTTTTAAAACTTCATATCAAATGAAAGCATAAAAATAAAATGTTACATCTATATATTAGGAAATTAAGAACTTAAGAGTTAATAAACTCAAAACTTAACTTTGAAAATAATGAAAACTTTAATTTAAAAATTAGAAATAAAATTACAAAACTGGTAGTCGTACATTTGTACAGAACTACTTCAAAGCTGCATTCATTTTTGGCGTGTTTTGCTTATGAGAAAACTGTAAACCAAACTTATTTTCTAAATACTGTTAAATATGAATCTAGATTATTTTTAACATTAATCTCTTACTTTCTGACAAGAAGAACAGTCAGTATCATAAATAAAAGGTTGGATCCATTAGACACAATGGCCAGGTAACTCTCAAAATCTTTCTGCATTTGTACAGTATGTACATCATCATCAAAAGAAACATTGCTTGGGAGACTTGTATTCCGAAACTTGTAGTCAAAATACTGTCAAAACAAAAGGAACAACAGTAAGTATTTACATCTGATGTACTTCTTATTAACAATAAAAGCATTGATTGTTTAAAGAATGTGAAGCCTAAAACACCCGGATGATTGTTAAGTTTTTCTGGATTTTGTGTTCTTATAAAAATTTCACAAGGTTTACACTTTTTTGCGTAAAGGTTCAATTTTTTATTGCTGGCATCACCATTGTGTGTGTGTGTGTGGGGGGGGGGGGGGTGTTTTGCTAGGATTAGAGAGGACCAGGCTTGGTTTGAAGCCAGGATTTGAGTAGTGCTACCAATACTGGAGAATACCCATGAATACATTCTGCTGAGTAGGACCTACTTAAAAAAAAAAATTCTAGTCATGAATAATGATTAAGTTTTGATTTAATACATTTTTTACAAATATCCACAATTGGTGGGGGGTGGTTTTTTTTTCTCTACAACGATTGTATGCATAATGTTATAATTTTTAAAAAGGAGAGAAAGTTACCTTTTTAGCAGTGATGAAAAAGTTCCAAGGCAGTAATGATGACAAGCCCAAATATCCAAATATAAGGAAGACACCATATCTCCTAAAAGTCACATGAAAAATACATTAAACACTATAGACATGAGCTTGCTAAAACATTCTATGTCTAAAACGACAGTAATTATTGATAATAATCATCAGACATTTTTTTTTAAATGATAGTGTATTGCAAATAAATTTGGTACAGCTGTTGAGTTTTGATTTATAAGGGAGACAATAAGAATAAAAAGTTGGCAAGGTAAGGGAGGTGAGTACTATATACCTTACTAATAGTTTTTATTGCACCCTTAAGCCTCACTTGTAAACTAAAGTGCCTGCCACTTTTTTTTAACCCAGATTTACTTTGACCAACTTTTTATGGTGAGTAAATGTTTTTAAGACTGCAAACACTTAAAGCTGACCACTAAAGAAATCATGAACAAAAAATTAGAAAGTACAATAAAGAGTAGTAATAAAAATAATGTTAATATTAAATAAAGCACTGTATTAAAATTTAATATTAAAAAAAACAAAAAAAAACAGGCCTAACTACTTTTATACACTGTAAAAAAAAAGCTTTTCAATAAAAACAAATTTTAAATTTTCTTTTATCAGAGCAAACAACGTAACTATTTTTTTAGATCATAATTTTTAAATTGTTTATTGTTATCAATATATTGCATGTATTGAGATGTGTGTAACATTATTTTCAAATGTAAAACAACAAGAGAGCCATTTCTGTAAAAAAAATATTTAAAATATCAGCATCATGGAAATAAAACTTACTTGTCCAGGGGTTCCTGGAGGAAGCTTGTAGGCTTAATAAGGGGAACTTTTTCAGCTGTGTGCCTGCGCTGGGGCTCACCAGGCTGAATGACCCTCTCATATGCCATGAGTTCTAGTTCGCTTTCTGAAGTTGAAACAATCTCAGAAACATCATATGAAACGGGATTGCTGAAGCTGAAAAATGTAAGAAATGATATATCAATCAAAATTAGTATACAAAGAAAATACTTTATTCATTACCAGCACAGTGATAAAACATACAGTAAGGTTTAGAAATTGAAAATACTAACTAATCAAATTGTATTAGCAAATGCATCAAAAATAGTATTCCATTCCATTTTAGGTCTTTGTTAAACTGACCAATAAATACAAAAGCAGACTTTAATACTCAAATTTTGCTGTTATAGATATTAGTACCATTAGGAGCATAAGAGCTGGGATAGTATTTAAAAAAAATTTATATGGTGATATTTTCTTAGGACTAAAACTTCTGCTGTTTATGTGTACTCTAAAGTAACTAGCACTAATCTATAACTACAACATTGATAACACTAACACTTAAAAAGCTGATCTCATTCATGTAAGTAAACCAGCAATTTGTCACAAAATAACCACAACCAACTAACACATTCCCAATAAACAAGAATAACATTACACACTAAATAAAAAAATGTGAATTGGATCAAGTCCTTCCCTTTCTCACATCTAGGTACTTGACAATCATTTAAAAAAAAGAGAGCAATTAACAGTAGTAGGTAATTAACATAATTTTAGGTCACATACTTCAGATAATCAGTTGGCCTGACACACTAAAAAAGATATTTAGATACACGGTGCATACCTAGCCAGACAATAAAAAAACTATTACTGCGTGTTATCATTTGAACAAGATAATGAGATAAACACATCACCAACTATATATGTATAGTATAGATATAATACATGAACATGTCTAAATATATATGAACATATAATGTGTAGTATGAGTATGTGTATTTATGTAGTAAAATGTAGATACTGTTTTTGAACATGTATAAACACACACAAAAACACACACATTATATATATATATATATATATATATATATATATATATATATATATATATATATATATATATATATATATATATATATATATATATATATATATATATATATATATATATATATATATATTACACACTGCTGTAGTAAAAATGTCATTTATGTCTATTAAAATATTACTCAAACCTGACAGTAAATAATTCACCTTTCAGGGTACTGTAGCATGGTTATAATTAATGTGCAACAGATGCAAACCAAATTTATAATCCAGCTGATATTTTCTGTTTGATCTTCTTTTCTAATCTACATTCTTAAATGATAAAGATAACATCTGCTGCATTCATCTCTCATGAAAGAGAGCATAGTTACAACTTTTAAAACTGATAAAAGTTAACCAGATTTTCATTACTTATCAACTAAGCAGTATACATTTTTAAATCTATACAAATTTATTTATTACATATTTAAATTTAACCCAGTCCTTAAAGTGTTAAATGCTACCAACAGAATTGTGTTTTAATTCATTTCTTTTTAAAATCTAACTGATAACATTTTTGCTTAAAATCTGACTTTACTGAACTAATTCTCACTAAGATATTCTCTTGAATACCAAATAAGACATGTATTAAATCCATAAGGGTGCAATATTTGTTTTAAGCAAAAGCATAAGTTACAAACTATGTTTTAAATTTAAATGCATTATCTGGAAAAAAAGAAACTTAAAATTTCCTTTGCTTATGCACATACATCAAAATATGTTAGTGAAACATATCACTGGGTAGTGAAAGGGTTAATCATTTCAATCTGTTTATTATCACACAAGGTCAAAGTAGCCAACACAAGAAATTATACTTTAGAAAGTATGACTACTCAAAATTTCAAAAACATATTGAGTCTTTGCTTAAAAACTGAAGTTTATTGTGAAGTTAAGTTATTAATCATTAATTTTCATTTTTTTTTAAACTATAAAGTTACCCATAGAACAGGAGAAGTAGTATTCACCAGTTTCCACGACCTCGGCATATGAAGGGATAATGTAATCAGCACTATGACCAACTGCCTTTTACTTTCCCTAACATGATTCAGGTACCCATTAGAGCTGGGTGGACTAAGAGACATCCTATAGACTCAATCCTAGGAACCAAACTACCGTCATTTTTCTTTCCATAATGAATAATAATGAGTCAGACATGTTTAAAAAAACAACAATTGGTCTCTAACCACTATGAATTAGATACTACAGGCTTCCTGTTGAGCCATACATTTTATCTTGTAACAAGATTGCAGATATTAAATTGCCCCTTATTGATAACCTTAGTTTGATTGTTTAAAATATATACCTTGCAAGTAACAGAACGGCTAAGAAATTGGTGAGCAAAAAAATTAAAAGATTATGTAATTTGCAGGGCAAATATTAATTCTAGAATTTTTAAAATCTTAATGTTTATAAAGTATTCACAACATATATTATATAAAATAACTAGGACCAAGGCTTTCCTTTTCAACCCACAAAATAGACACTATAAAAATGTTTGTTGTTTAAAATACTTGTGACTTAAATTAGATATAGATCTAATTGTAGTCTTTCATTATGTTAAAAGTAGTTTTTTTTTTTTTTTTTAAAAAGACCATCATGTAAACCTATTCATCCAACCATTCAAATAACAGAAATTTTTAACACAAAAAAAGGTAAAGAAAATAAAAGGAAATATTATATAAAACCTCCAACGCCCTGTGGCCAGGCACAAGTCGGCTGTCCATAGACAAAGATATCAAAACCTAAAAGTTGAAATGATGGGACATGCCCTAAGGATATCAGAAGAAAACAAAATATAGAAAGGAACCCAAAGGGAAAAAGACAGTAGGCAGACCTAGAAAATCCTGGAGAAAGGCTGTTGAAAGCAAAGGGTTCTTGGCTTACGTTGGCCCAACTGAAGAGAGTCATCCAAAATTTAGTGAGTAGGAGAAATGTAATTGCCGTCCAATGATCCTCAGGATTTGAAGTAAAGCCTTTACATAACAATGATCTAAACCACCTACCCCCTACCATATATAATAATAAAACTATTTTATAATGGTAACATTGCTAGACACAGATGCCTATTTTTTAGCGCAGTTTCCATACTGGCAATTGCGTTTAATAATGCATCATTTCTGGATGGATGGATGGATGTGTGTCCGCAGCTTTAAGTCGTATCTCCTCCTCAACGAAGCAATATCGAGGACTAGTTCCAAAAGCAAATATCTTAAGCAAGTTTCGAGGATGAACATAGGCCAAAAAAATTCCCGGAATTCCTGCCTGCATTTCCCGGAAAAGCTAAAAAACCTCGAACAAATGCAGTTTTTGCTTCATATCTCGGCAACCAGACCACTTAGCGACTTGAAACATTTACCAATCGATTCCTGCCATAATTTAGACCAATATTGCCGAAGAAAGTTTTCAAAAATATCCTTTCGTTCTGTCACAAAAAATTAATTAAGAACATTTAAACTGAGCATCTTGTAGGCCTAGGATGATTTAAACTGAGCATTGTGTAGGAGTTTATATTTATAGGATGATATTTACAAAAAATAAAAAATTAAAAATTGTTATGGATAACATAAGGAAATTGCGCTTAAATTGTCACTAGACTTTTTATTAACTTGTTTTAACTTTTGCCATTATTTTTAAAAAATCAATTATATTTTAATAAAATAACAAAATCACAATATAACAAAATGATCTTTTTAAATTAAGTTGTTTACAAGATTACATTGTAAATATTCTCTGTAGATGGCATATTATAATATTACATGGACAACATTTTATCATGGACACCCTTATCCTTATTGTAAATCATTTCAAACAGTTGAAAAAAGAAATTACATGACATAGATCATTGATTTTAAGGTGTAGGTATTAAATACAGTGAACACATTTTTAATGACATAATATATAACATTTAGAAAAATACTTTTACACCTTGTACTAAATCAAAATAAAACCTAAAAGAACATCTATTATAAAGAAATGGCTTACCAATAATCATCATTGTGAAGATTATCTTCCACTTTTGTAGATTGTTTTTCTCAAGATCTACTAACTACTAATGAACAGCTGAATCTAGCATAAAAAGTCCATGTTTTATTGAAGAGGTTTAGGTAAAGTCTGATTCTTGATCGTCTTAATGAAACGCTACATTTCAACCAACACAATATGAAAATTAATATGTTAGCTAACATCTCTCCCCAAATTCACACTAAACCAGTGATTCTGGTACCGAACCCCTGCCAGTTTCATATGTACATTCACTCTCACTGAATCCTTCTTAATAGTTCTATCGTTTGGACTGACATAATCTGATCATGAATCATACGGTATGAGTCTGGTGTGTGTCTTAACCTCCACTGAACCCCTGAGACTGATTTGCTGAGCCACTGGGGTTTGATCAAACCCAGGTTAAGAACCACTGCACTAGACTAACTTAACTAAACCAAATTTAATATTATATGAGCCTCCCCGCGGCATATCATACACCGCTATTTAGTTGTTTTATTTTCTAGTTTTCAGTAATTCATAATTTGTGAATTCGACAGTACCAATGCTGCCACTGAAAATATTTGCTTTAAAACACTATCAGTAGGTCGTTAAGAACGATACTACCCCCACCCTCCTTTCCCCCAACCCCTACCCTACACCCCTGTGAAAGCAGCCTCCTCTTGGTTACCTCCCCTAAGTTTAAAATCGTTTCAAACTAAATTATCTGCCCTTAATAGCCGTCACTGAACCCGGCTCTATGATTGTAAACTTCTTCTTCTTCTTCTTCGTTCTTAATTATTTGTGTTGAAGGGGATCGAGATTTATCTGCCAGTGGGTTTGAACTCGAGACTGTTCGAATGTATCAACCATGAGCTTTTTGCCTACTCGACCACGCCTCCAACACAATTAAGAGTTACGTGTCAACTGGTTTTGCGCCATTGAGGCCATTGACTCCGATTTCAGCCTGCTTTTCTTTTTGGATTTGCTTCCATAGCCTTTGTCCAACCAAGAACAAACTACAAGGCAGCAGTTGTTTAATTTTGGAGTTGTCTCTCCTAGAAGAGTGGCTGTCCCCAGCTAACGAGCCTCATCTGCCCGAGGGTTCGAACTCGAGACTTTTCGGTTTAGCGACCATGAGCTTTACCGACTCGACCACGCCGACCCCTTAAACATTGTAAGCATTTAGCGTGAACTAAAGCTCACCAGACCATGTAGGGGTGGGGGTGGTAGGGAGCGCGCTTACAGCTTGTTTTCTAGCGTCTCCAAGAAGAGAATTATATATATAGATTTTGGATGATTGAGGATACCAATGTCCAATAATAGACTCTTTTAATAGGTGTGATAGGTTGTTGGTAGTTTTTAATCTCGTCTAGTAACTAGTTTTAGATCTATAGTTAAAACTAATTTTTAAGGTGAATTTTTTAAAACCAGTTCAGCAGTAGCATAGCAGGGGGGGGGGGGGGGGGACAGACGGACATATGTCCCCGGGCGCCGACCTTAGGGGGTGCCAAAATGGGTTGGAAAAATAAATTGAAAGGTTGAGGGGGGTGCAAATTGAAAGTTTGAGGGGGGGGGGGGGTGCAAATTGAAATCTTGAGGGGGGGGGTGCAAATTGCTGCAGTTCAGTGTCTGATAATAATCATAATATACTATATATTTTTTTATAGATCTAGAATCTTATTCTTATGTTAATGTTGCTAAATTCACTAAATACTAAATACTACTAGTAGATAGTCCTACACACAAATGATCATATGCCATGCTAGTAAGTTAATAGTGACTAATTTTTGTAATTAATAAAAATATAATAAGTTAATAACTAATTATAATATAATTATAATAATGTCAATTGTGTCAATCATGCTAACTCATCACTGTATCCTGGCTTAACCTCAATCATCCAATTTTATTATAAACTTTTATTTAGTTACTAGTTAGGCCTCAATCTACTAAAGCTAGAATCTATTATCTAATCTAGATCTATGTTTCTAATCTAGGGTATTCCTAATCTAGAATCTAGATAATCTACTGTGAGTGTAGTCTAATGTTTGTTTTGGAGTTGATCTGCCAAATCATGAGACTTGCCACTTGAGAAATGCTTTGCTGCTCAATATGAATATTTTTCATTTTTTTATAAATCCTAACAAAACAAGCATAGATCTAGATCTATGATCTATGTAGTAGTATGTACTATATAAATACTAGATCTAGATTCTAGACTATCTTAATCTAGATACTAAGATAGAGATCGAGTTCTAATCTAGATTATAGTGTAGTGTAGACCTGTCCTAGATTTAAGTTCTTCTGTTGACGGAACTAGTCTAGATCTACTCCTCTCGTTTGCATTTTTATTTTAAGTGATTGTAATGTACATGTTATGTAACGTAAACTACCGCAGTATTCAGAAAGCCTAGACTAGTGCACATCGTTAACTGACGTTAAATGAATAATTGAATCTGGGGTTGTTTTTTTTTTTACCAGCATTCGATCATGTGGTAACAATACATAAACAGAAGAGGTTAAGTTAAGCTCCACTTACAGACAGTGTTTCTTCCAGACTTTTTTCTTCGGGGGGACACTTGAAATTTTCGGGGGGGGGGGGGGGGGGGGCGGTAGACTTTCTTCGGGGGGGGGGGCGGACACTGTTAAAATTATATATTTTCTATATAAATTATATAAATTTCATTTCGTTCGGGGGGGGGGGGGGGGGGGCGGTAAAAAAATTTCAGGGGGGAAGAGATGCCTGGAAGAAACTCTGCTCACAGACGCACGACCCCTGACTTCTACTTCTATTCCATTCCAACCCAACCTCCCAATCACCATAACACCTCCTTCAAAGTTCGATGTATTATTTGTAGCTTTATAATAAATATGTTTATATATTAAATCAAGTGAAGTAGACAATAACTAGAAGAAATCAATGGTTCGCATAGTAGTAGCAGGGGTGGTAATGTTCACTTGGGGGTCATCCATAAATGACGGCACGCTTTTTACCTTCTCCACATCGTCACAAAAAGCCAAAGCCCCCTCCACATTGCAGTTGAATTTTTCTTAAAACATCGATATTTTTACCAAATCTTGCGCAACTCTGTCAACATAGAGTGTTTCTAATCAATTTATATTACAATTTATGAAAACAATTTTCTAAAACGCGAAATAACGGCTAAAATTTCTTTTCTAACATTGTTTTGTTATAATGCAAGTGTGACGTCACACCATCTGACCCCCCTCCCTCATCACACGCCGTAACAAAATTACGGGGCCCCCTCCACTACTACTATGACGTCATTTATGGACGACCCCCTTACTTTTGATAGATATAGGCCTAGTCTATGCCTAAAGACTAGATAGATCATTTAAAACTCGTATTCTTGCAATTATCTGCTATTCACAATGGATAGATGAATAAGTTTACACAATAACAGACTATTCGTACTCTACAATTTTGTTTGAGTTATAGGCCTCTGTAGCTCTATAAATTATATAGGGATAAATGTAACGTAAATAAACAGCATAAGTACGTTTTAACTGACAACAACTGTAAACTAGTAAGTATAATAGATTGACGACAGAAGCCTGTGGTTGTATATAACACATTTAATTGGGTCTAACTACCACGATGGTAACACACAGAGAGGACGGGAGGAAGTACACAAGGGACATCACTCAAGATAACAATATTATAAATATAACTAATACAGAAGAGTGAGTTCCCTTGACCTCACAATTATTTCAATCTATTACATCCCTTTACCCTTAGAACACAATAACACATCTCTCAATAGAACAATTGATAGTATCCTAAAATCACCAATTATATTGTAACATGAACACTATGGTAGATTACATCCTTACAAACAATGCACAATATGCTACAACATAATCAAAATACAAAACAATAATGTCAAAGTCCTTTTGACCTTTAAAATCATAGGTCTAACTTATTTGGGACTTTGATTGTCCTGTTTGACCTTCTCAGTGGCTTCTGATTTGGTGACTCAAGATTCTGACCATCTGGATTCTCTATCTCAGGAGGTCTAGGATTTAAATCATTAACTCCAGAATTTACATTTTCTGACTCCAGACAACTTGGTTCACTCATATCAACAGAACTTGGTTGTAGAACAAACTGAGTTGGTGTGAACTGATCAGATTTGGTGGGATTGACAGATTCACACTTATTATCTGCACAAGTTATTTTCAACTGGTCTGCATGTCTACGGACAATAAGTCCATCATTTGTTTTTACTTTATAAGACACAGGTCCTGTACATTGAACAATTTGACCTGGTATCCATTTTTCCTTTCTCCCATAATTTCTCAGATACACATTATCATTAACTGCAAATTCTCTTTCAATGGATGATTTGTCATGATTTACTTTTTGTGTATGTTGATGTTGGGAAACAGACCTTTGAACAGTTGGATGTAGTAGGTCAAGATGAGTTTTAATTTTCCTACCACATAGCAATTCACATGGTGCAACACCTGTTGTTATATGAGGAGTTGTGCGGTATTTGGTTAAGAACCTGTTTACTCTTTCTCTAAGAGAAAACTTGTTACCGGTATTCATTTTTACCATAGCGGTTTTGAATATGCCTACCGCTCTTTCAGCCAAACCATTCCCAGCAGGATGATAGGGGGATGTGGTTATATGCTCAATACCATTTGCCACACAAAACAGTTTAAACTCATGAGCTGTGAAACTAGGCCCATTATCTGAAACAATTTGATCTGGTAATCCATGAGTTGAAAATATTTCCTTAAGTTCTATAATGGTATCATTTGCAGTGATTGTGTTCATGATTTTAACTTCTAACCATTTAGAATGTGAATCAATAACAATTAAGAACATTTTGTTCATGAAAGGTCCTGCGAAATCTATATGTATACGTTTCCATGGTTCAACTGGCCAGTCCCAGTTTTGCAAAGGTGCTGTAGCTGGTTGATTTGAATGTTGTGCACAGCTTGAACAAAGTTTTACATATTTTTCAATATCAGCATCCATATGTGGCCACCAGAACCATGATCTTGCTAGACTCTTCATTTTGGAAGAACCAAGATGAGTATCATGTAAAGTTCTTAAAACTTCTTTTTGTAACATTTTGGGGATAATTACTCTTGACCCCCATAGTATACATCCATCTTCTAGACTTAACTCTGTTTTTCTTATTTTATATGGCTTTAAGTCCTCATTCACTGACTCTTCAGGCCAACCATTCTTACAGTACTCATATACTTTTATTAAGCACTCATCTTTTTGTGTTTCTCTTTTAATATCATTCACATTTATATTGGAGTTATCCATGATAGTGAAGAGAACAAATACATCTTCTGGTACATAGCTCAGGCTTTGGTTTTCTAAAGGTAATCTACTAAGACTATCTGCACTATTCTCAGATCCAGGTTTGTATTTCAATTCATAATTGTATGCAGTTAGTGTGATAGCCCATCTTTGAATTCTTGGTGAGGCATGCTCAGGTAGGGTTTTGTTTTCTCCAAATAAACCTAGCAATGGTTTATGATCTGTAAAGATGGTGAACTTCCTACCAAACAGAAACTTATGAAATTTCTTA